AATTAAATAAAATTATTATTTTATATTAATTACATAAAATAATATTTTGATAATACTTGAAATAATAAATCTAATAAAATTATTTTTGTATCAATATCTAATACCATTTTTTAAAATTTAAGGTCAAAGTTTAACATTTTTGATAGAAAAAATATAAATGTGGACAAATACTCAAGGACGAAGTAATTATGTTCATTGGTTTAGTATTTACTGGTCCAGAAAACGTGAATGAATTATATAAACATAACTTACTCCCTCCGTCTCAAATGAAATCGCATGTAAACTATTCTCATGATCAAACTTCATTCACTTTCTTTTGTTATTTGCTAGAGTAATTTCAATCAATAATATGGTTGTGTTCCCATTACTTTTATAGATTTTTTGATGTAGTTGTAAAATATGTAATTTTTGTTTTTTAATTCAACATCTTTTTTCAAATAAAATGATTTGAAAATAACTCGAGTCATACATTGTAAACCCAAACGGCTGATTAAAATTGTGACAGATGGTTTGGATTTTTAGTATCCGTCAAGATCCTTATTCGAATTCGATATCTGACAAAAATAAACGGATACAGATTTGGTATTGACTTATCTGATCCGATTGATATCCGTTTACACCCCTAATTATATTTTTGGATAATGAAGCATTGGAGAAGATCATAGCAAGGAATACATAAACTAAAATATGTTTCTAGGATGGTTTGAAGTAAATAAAATTTATAATGCAGCCTGAAACCTCACATACACTCAATTCCTTCCAGGATCTGGTGAGGTATACTACTTGAGGTGTTTGTTGAATGTTGTAAAAGGACCATATTCCTATGAAGATATTGGGCCTGTAAAGGTACATTAGGACCATGTTCCTAGATCACTTTAAAACACATTCTTTATATTAGTAGTTCTATTGTGAATTAAATAAATAATATGATATATAAGCAGGTGAACGTATATACTCCCTCCGTCCTATATCTTTCTTCCCGTTGCGTAAACAAAGAAAAATCCCGAGTTTTTTCCATCTATTTTATTTAAATATTGGTATAGAAATAAAAAATAAAATTTACATATTTAAAAACTACATCAAAAGTTCAATAAAACAAGTGGTGACAAGAATATTTTATTTTATCATATAGGCCATGAAGAAACACAAATAAATATAAATTCCCGTGAAATTGGAATAGTGCTCTGGGAAGAAAGTTTTAGGACGGAGGGAATACTATTTACTAAATAATATTCAGCATCAACTACTCTCGTACTCCGTATATTTTTAGAATTGCGATAAATTTTATCTTTTCGTGCATCGCATGAGTGATGCACTAGTAGTATCTGATAACCTAGAGCCCTAGTCTGATTATACAATGACTAAGCACGGAAATTAAAGAATTTATGAACACTTTGGCAAGATTGTTCAACCTTTGTTCTACACTAGAACAATAGTATTGACGAGAGTAGCAAAACCAACTCATGCATTTTTCTTTTTTCATATGATTTAAAAGCTGAGTACATTGTTATTCTGAAAAGAGAGCTACAAGCACATCTTAGAAAAGCTCTTGAATGTAAGTGATGGGTTTTAGAACCCAGGACCTAGGAGACTAGGTAAAAGAGTACCGAACGAGTACTGAGTGCCTTACGTTGCAAGATTCAAGAAAAATGTCTTGTCTTAGTAATAAAAGTGAACGTGTCTCTTCCCCTCCCGGGGAGGGGTATTTATACAATACATATTTGGGCTTTTCAAATAGTTAGTTCTTTAAAGGGGTTCTCACTCTGCGTAGGAGATCCTTCTTCAACCCCAGCTCCTCGAATGTCTTCATGTACATGATGTTGACAAAACTACCATTGTCAGCATAGAAGCGGTGGACAACTACGTCGTTGATTTCACACTTGACGACTAAGGCGTCTCTGTGCAGGGAAGGGTTTTTTTAGTGCATCTTTGGGGCCGAAGAGAACTGGCTCTTGCCTTACCATTTTGGATGGTCCAGGCGCACTGCAGCCATCGCCCACAAAGGCCAAGTGTACCCATTTCTTCCTATGTTTGGTAAAGTCTCCTCTGGTGTTGTCGTCGTAGATCATTCGATTTTCCTCCACCCTCTTCTGTTTGGGTACATTCCCCCCTCCTCGTCACTCGGGAGGCCAATTTCCTTCCTCCTCTTCTGCCTTCTTCCCATGATGGCTTGATGGTATCTTTCTACCTCTTCTTGACGAACTGACTCAAGTGCCCAGAGTCTCACGCTTAAAAACCTTGCACTCGTTAGTGTCGTGGGCGGCCACCCTGTGGAATCTGCAATAAGGGCCGTTGTCTACGGCATAGATCGGGGCAAACCTTGGGTCGTACTCCACCAGACCTTGGTGCTCGTCATAGTCCAGGATCGCGCTGATGGGATCTGTGAAAAGTGTGTGCTCCTCTGGTAACATGACTTTGGGATAGTGAGGAGGATAAGACGGGTCGGGTTTTCTCTCGTTGTAGGCCCTCTCTTTGTAAAAATCTCTCGTTGTAGGCTGCCAGTCTCGTTGGTCCCTGCTCTTCTTGTAGTAGTAGCCAGAGGACGTGGGCAGTCGCTCCAAACTCTTTGAGAAATCACTTGATCGTAGGACCATGTGGAAAGTGGACAACTTTATCTCATCGTTTGCCCCATAGACCATAGTGGTCTTCAACTCTCACCTTGCAAGGAAGTCCCTCAACAGCTCGTCCGGCCTCTGCCTGACCGAAAGGAGGTGGGAGACATGCAACTTCTTTCTTTTGTTGGCGGTGAAGTACATCAAGAACCTTCAGGCCAAATTTTCCCAGGATTCAATCCTGCCTTCAGGAAGTTCATTAAAACATTTTGATGCTAGCCCGTCCGGGGTTGCCGAAAAGGATCTACAAAGCACCTCCTCAGATAGAGTCATGACGTTCGTGAGGGGCTGGTATCAGTTGAAATGTTCCTGGGGGTCTATCATGCCATCATACCTACGTATGGACAGAATTTGGAAATTACCCGGTAAGGGAGCCCTCAGCACTCTCTTTGAGAACGGAGAGCGGAATTTGAAAGTGGGCTCCGGAGCGTATCCAGCTTGTTCATTCTCTCCAATGCATCTATCCTCTACAGGAGGAACTCAATGCTATGTCCCTCAAGGCGTCCCCCTGCCCCCATCTACCCTTTCAGGTGCCCCCTGCGGCGGCCTGAAGAAGAGATCGTGGATAGGCGGTTTAGCCTCAGGAACAAACCTTTTAGACTGCACGTCTTGGTGACCCTCGCATCATTCTTCATAAGGCATCCTTACCTTATCAGCCCATTCATGGGTGATGGTGTTCCTTCGGCCATGCAGCCGATCTTCTGTGGGCACACGCATCCAGCTATACACGGATACGTGCGATTCACTCTCGCCCTTCCTTCCTTAAGGGTTCTCGGCACCTTCCAACCTCATCCTTGTCCTGGTGACTCTCTTGCTTCCTCGCCACGAGCTTTTCCGGGGCTTTGTCGTTGTCCTTTTCCTAGGAGCAGCCTGTTTCCTTATCGTCGTCCCGTCTGCTGACGGATCCATGCAGGAATCCACCATCATCCCCTTTAGTTGGTGAGTGAACAACTCCGTGTTTTCCGCCATGTTCTACGGATCCTCCTGACGCCCCTCATGCAGGAACGTTGGTTGATGCATGAAGATCAGTGCCTGGAAACCTGTCCTGGACTGGTTCACCATCATGGCCTTGAAAATATTGGGATCCATGGTAGGGGTTCTGATAACGGACGTCTCAACAAACTGGAAGAGCCGTGAGTTAAAATCACCGGGAAACATCATTCCTCCACCACTGGATCATTCCCCCCAGGCTGTGGGGGCACCATACTCGCTCCCAAGGCCGGTACTTGCTGAATGGGCTGTTAGAGGCCCTCTCTGTTCATGCAGGATGCGAAGATGGAGGTCAGTAGTGTGCTAGCTAGTGACATCATTTAGGGCTGATGTACTGGTCATCTTGACACATTTAGTCGATGACGTCAGTCATCTTGATACCACCACCATTGGCGGCAGCGGATGACCTGGTGACTCTTCTCGATCTAACCATTCTTGGAGCATGCTTGATGTGTTTGAAACTCTCAACGAGAGAGCCAATGATGGGTGTTAGAACTCGAGACCTAGGAGACTATGTAGAAGAGTAGTGAACAAATACTAAGTGTCTTAGGTTGCAAGAGTCGAGAAAAGTATTTTGGCTTAGGAATAAAAGTGAACGTGTCTCTTCCCCTCCCAAGAGGGGTATTTATACAATATATACTTAGGCTTTTCCAGCCGTTAGTCTACATCCTAGAGGGCCGAGCCCATTGAGGCCAAGTCATCGGATCGACGACGCCAACAATATGATTACAAAATAGGATGGCTACAAGTAACGCAGAGGCAACATGGTGGCTACAACCAATCGTATAGACAAGTGTATCAAGGTGTCCAATCGTGGGCTCACTTATTGAACAAGGCATAGAGGCTCCCAAGTTGCAGTGGGCCAATGGTCTTCGCTAGCGGCTCAAGCCGAGTATGCATGCTTTGTTGTTCGAGCCCAACCATGGATAGTCCGGTCGGGTCTGTCACAGGTCCGAGTGGATATATCCGAGCTGAGCAGGGATACACATCCGCAAATATGGTTGTCACATTAAGGCCTTGGCTTCTCCTTAAGTCCTGCTGAGCCGAGCATGGTCCTTTAGGCGAGCGCGCCCGAATTGTTCGATTAGATGGGCCTTGCTGGCTGCTTGTTTAGTTGGGTCGGATACCCCCGTTCCCGGGTATCCATCAGTAAGATTTGACATGTCATTTTCATCATTTAAATAGCCTTGCATGGTATGATTTTGTCAATAATTTTAGAAAATATGTTTTATATATTGATTGGAGTCTATCCCACACCGGAACTTGTGGTGAAAATAAATCGGTATATAAGTTCTTGAGTTGAACTAAGTAATTGATTGGACTCAATCTTTTAATGTGGTTCAGCACAATTATCTTATTGCTTAATCTAGTTGTGCATACCTCATCCTAAATTCTATCAGATATAATCAGTTTTGGATCTTATCCATTTCAAATTTTAATAGCAAGGTCCCCGACCGATTGATTGGATTGCATTCGCTCCCGACCCCATACTGTTCCTCTTCATCTTCAAATCCAGTTTCCATGGCAAGTCTAAGCTTCCATTCCGGCAAGATCAGGCATCCCTCCCTCCACTCCTTCAATTTCCCATCCCACTCATTTCCATCCTCACTGAAAACAAGCCCACTCAAAACCAACTTCAAGAACTTGCACTTTCTTTCCTCTCCCGCATCTCAAACATCCATCTCCTCACCCATGGAGTCCGCCGATGAAGAAGACGATCCCACTGCGGATTTGAGCTATCTCGACCCGGAAATCAATCCCGGGACCATTACCCAGTGGGAAATGGACTTCTGCTCAAGACCCATTCTTGATATCCGGGGGAAGAAGCTGTGGGAGCTCGTTGTTTGTGACCCTTCCCTCTCTTTGCAGTACACCAAGTATTTCCCCAATAATGTCATCAATAGTGTTACTCTCAAGGAATCCATACTTTCCATCTGTGATGATTTGGGTGTTCCTTTGCCCGATAAAATTCGATTCTTTCGGTCAGTTCTTCTGTGATATTCTGCACTCTCCTTTTCATTTCCTAATGTGGGTTCTTTTCCCTAATCAGAATCATCACATTCCCATTTTCTTGGTAGTTCACAAATGCAGACTATCATCTCAAGAGCTTGCAATGAGCTTGACTTAAGACCTGTCCCTAGCAAGCGGGTACGTTTTGATGTTCCCTTCCTGAAATTAAGATTGTTCTGTTACATTCTAAAAGGTCATCCCGATGATTCGTAGTTTAACATGATTATGTTTCCCAACTTTCCTAGACTGATTCTAAGTTGGAATATATGTTATTGATTATGCTGTGTTGTTACACAGTGCTTCGCTTTGATTCTATGGCTTGAAGAACGGTTTAAAAGGGTTTACACTCGCCATCCTGGTTATAAAGAAGGGTCTAAACCACTGTTTTCTATAGATAACCCATTCCCAATGCAGCTCCCAGAGAACTTGTATGGAGAAAAATGGGCTTTTGTCCAGTTGCCCTTCTCAGGTGCACATATGCTTTGGTCCTCCTCTTCTCTGCGATTTGAACTTCACTTGCAATTTTAATGTAACACGTTGTATGTTTCTTCCCCGTGGTTATTATAGCTGTCAAAGAAAAGGCTTCATCTCTGCAGGCAAGGCCGTATATGTTTGGTGCGAGTTTAGATTTGGATCTTTTGGGGATTGAAATCAGTGATGAGACTTTAGTTCCAGGACTAGCTGTTGCATCTTCGCGCGCAACTCCATTAGCAGGTAAATTTTGTGTTAGAAAAACAAAACTACGTGACCGAAACAACTAAAACAAGACATTTTTGTTACATGGGTGCAGCTTGGATGAATGGCTTGGAGATGTGTTCAATAGAAGTTGACATTGGTCGGGGTTGCTTGGTTTTGGCTGTTGGGATTTCAACTCGCTACGTTTACGCGACCTACAAGAAGACCCGAAAAGCGAGAGATGAAGGGGAAGCATGGGAAGCTTCGAAGAAGGCCTGCGGAGGTTTACATTTTCTTGCCATTCAAGATGAGCTAGATTCAGATGGTTGTGTTGGGTTCTGGCTCTTATTTGACTTGCCACCACCTCCTGTCTAGGCGCCCATCATCATGCCAAGATTGAGTGACAACTCAATTTGTTTTGTAACTCAGAAAGTATGAAACTCTCCCAGTTGCAATTAAACTTATAGTTAGAAAAAATGAGTGTTTTTCTAGTTTGGGTGGATTTTAATGGTCATAGCAACTAAACGTTCAATCAAAATAAATGTTTTTGTCAGACGAGTACTCCATTTGGCATTAGCGTTAGAGATTAGCATTACTGTTTTGAAAAAAGTTATCTACATCAGAATTAATCTACATCATTAATTTTTTCTGAAACGCTAATGCTAATTGAAAACGATGTTCCCAGACAAGGTCAAGGTTAACATGGTACAATTCAGAAAGACTTTAATCCATTTGGAAAATTAACAATATAATAGTAAATAACATGGACACTCGGATACTTAAGTGGGAAACTAAATTGATAAAAATCACGTATTCATCCTGATAGATGCCATACCAATGCAGGTATTTTATTACGTACTTTGTGGAATCAAAAGTGATGCGCCTCTAGCATACTTGAGTTGAATTATTATATCCTAAGAAAGGTATGTAACATGGACATATGAATTGAAAAACAGGCTCGGATGGCGTAGCTCAAGTGGTTGAAAAGTCAATATGGTAGTATCTGACTACTTGGAAAAACGTGGTTAGCCAATACCTTAGACTTTTGGCCCTTACAGATATGACCTTAGATAGGAGTGTTTGAAGAGATTGAATTAGAATCGTTGGAAGTATGGCAGTAGCTTTCGTGCTTAACAATGTGTACTTTTGTTTTTTGCCTACTTTATGTTTCTTTCTACGTGCTTTGTGCTCCCGTGTTACTTAAGCTAAACAGCCCCTCTACTTTTGAGTCGGGGTAAGGTTTGCATATACACACCCTCCCTAGACCCTACATTCGTGGGATCCTACTTGGTTGTTGTTGTTGGTCCCTATTGTCACCATCAATAAAGAAGTTTTCTAACCTTTTTTTTTTAAAAAAACAAACAGAAATCAAGGAAAAAGGATACAACGTTTGCACATTTACCTGAAGGATATGCATATACTCCTTCCCTTCCAAGATAACATTTTGATTTGCCTTTTTTTTTTAAATACAAAAAAAAAAAACATGTCATATTTTCGTGCAAGTAATGAAATGTGTGGTGCTTTTGTTTTGTATAAACTGATTCATTTATCTCTAGTAAAACAAGAGAAAAATTCAGCCATATATATATAAGAGTAGAAAGTAGTAGAAGAATTCTTCCACCAAAGGAAGAGTAAAATTGTATGGAAGAGTAAAAGAGAGCAATAAAATTTCTATTTCCAGTATTGAACACAGTTTATAGTTCAGACAAAAGGACAGAATAGGAAGAAGAAAGATATGGATGAATCAATTCAAGTTCATGTGTCTCAAGGGAAGAGGTCTTGAAGGTCTAGGATATCAGCCAGGACACCTGCTGCTGTAGTGTCATTCCCTGCACCTGCACCTTGGATAACCAGCGGCTGTTCTTTATAGCATCGGCTGTATATTTCCAACTGCGGATAACGGAAATGAGGAAAATGGAGTGAAATAAATAAATAAATAAATAAATACGGAGTATATAAATTAAATAATTAATAGAAGAAAATGTGATGGAAATGAAGAAAAATGGATACAGAAGTGTAGAGGGAGATTAGTATGTGCTCACTCACCACATTATCACTCCCTCTTAGCCTCCCCAATGCAGAATTTTTCGGAACTTCTTGAATCCCAACTTCACATCTACAACGCAGTTTAGGGTCAAGGGAAATATAAAAACCACGTTCCAATAAAAAACAATTTCATGGCGAATATATTCTTTTTTAGCGTTTTTGTGAGAAGGGCACTTTTGACCGGTTAAAACACTCTTTGAGTTGTATCGTAAATTAGTGTTTTTCTATGTGTTGTTTGCCAAACAGACTCAAAATATATAAACAGAAGACAACATAGAGTTTCATAGCCAAGGCCTTAGAGAGAACAAATGGTTTTCTTTTTTGAAGCTAGAGCTAAAGTACCTTGCGTCATCAATCAGACAAACATAACGCAGAACGTTCCCATTTGAAGAAGCCGTCTCAATACGTTCTTGGATGCCCTTGTCAAGCATGGGAAGGCCAGTTTTTAAAAACTCTTCCAAAGCCATCACATCAGGTCCCATGTATGGAGGATAAAAGCTCTCAATCTACCCAAACAAAAAAAATTGTTTTTCCATGGCATATTCCTGCAGTTTTAATCTAACCAGAGAACGATATAATGGTTTTGAAGAGTAGACACTAACCTTCATGTTGTCTAAATTTATACGCCTTCCTAGGAGTCGGGCAAGTATCAAAGCCTATGTTTAAGACCAAGAAAGTGACAAAACATTACATAAAATAAAGGCCTATGGTTCTGCAGATACACATTTACTGTCTATCACGTGGAATTAAAAAAAAAAAAGAGTAGAGTTTCTAAACCTTTCTTGCCACATCCATGCCACCAAGGTCATCTCGAGGATCTGAGTATCAAATAAAATTTTAAAAATCCTTACAGAAAATACCGATGAAAATGCATTAGCAGAAGATACGAAACTAGTTTGCATGGGAAATTCGCATAATATCCAAACACAAAAAATGTATTCATGTTACCTGGTTCGGTGTAGCCAAGACTTTTAGCAGCAGTAACCACTTCGCTGAACAACTTTCCATTCTCAACCTCACTCATCACGTATCCTAATGTACCTATTTCAGACAGAAGTTATTTACGTGTTATGCCATCAATCGGTATTGAGAAAAAGCGTGTTTTCAAACAAAAAGTGGAGAAATAGCTTTTAAAGATCATCACATTACCACTTAGACTCCCAATAACACGATAAACGGTATCGCCTGAAGATATTAAACGAGTTAAGGATGCTATGATAGGGAGCCCAGCACCAACCTACAAAACAATACACCATTCCACACGCGCATTGGGGTAGTGACATAAGTACCACATTGGAAAATCATTGAAGTATAAAAATGAATATAAGTGTCCACTTAACTCTATTAGTATAATTCCTTTTGGAAGGTTCTAAAAGCGGACAATTTAATACCTAATGTGGAGTTAAGATGAGAAAAATAGAACTCACTGTGGATTCATGACGAAGGTGACGAGATTTTGCTACCAACTTGTCATAATCTTCCTACAAACACCAAAGAATAAAAAGCCACTTACACGTGATTACAAAGGCGAATAGTATGTCTCCACCCACTTCTTTCAAGTAATCAGTGATGGTAAAAGTGCGAAACTTTTTTGTCACACATTATAAAGCTCACAATACTGAAATTGGAAAAAGTATGTGTTTACCATAGATGAGGTGAGTGGCTTTTTATTAGCGAGCACAACACAGCAGCCGAAGTCCACTACTCTACTTAGAGTTCCAACAGTATTAGAACTAGCTGAGCAATCGACAAATGCCAAACCTATCTCCATACACATTTGTAGAAGTCAGTGAGATTGAAAAACGAAAAATGCACAACGATCAACTGTGCACATAGTCACATACTAAATCTGTCTCTTCCACAAGAAAGAATAAAAGAATGCCTACTTCAACATTAAAAAAACTGTATGGTTTTATAGTTGTACAAGGGAAAGAAAATAAATTAAAAACTATACCACTTAAATCACCCCTTGCAACATCAGTTGTCTATTCCTAAAATAAGGCTGCAACTAGAAACTCAAAACACTGAAAAATAGTAAAAACATTCTCAACTCCAAACTTTGATCATTGATGTTGATGAGTTGAGTAAGCGCCTCTGGTTGAAATTAAGAGCACGTGAATGCTCAATTTCTACAATGGTATATGCAATACCACTTAGGAAGGTAAGTATGAAGGAATTATAAAAACGAAGCTTCCAACAAGATTTTCTCAGTAGAAGATTAGTGGCTCAAATTGCACAATAAACACACAAAATAAATTCGAAACTAGAAAATCGCTAAATTCTTGCTAACACTGAATAACTAAATTTAATCATATACCACCCCAATTCACTCATGTTCAATAATTCAATCACCCACATTTTGGTATTACAATCAATTTTGCAATTGGGTGTTTTGTTAGAATTTCATCTCACTATTCCTTCGTTGGAATGTTGCAACAGGAAGCGCATCTAGCATAAATCTTTGCAACCATGCTCTTTTGCATTGCACTTATAGTGTTAACTAATTTTAAATGACACTATCAAATTTTATATCAACGACCCCAAAGTAATGAGGACTAATGTGTTGAAGATAATAACAATCACAAAACACCCATATTGTTTTTCTCCTAAAAAGTAGAAGGTTTTAGACTCCCAAACCTGTTGATCTACCAAGAAGACCTCCAACATCCACAATTTTTCTTGTCGCATCTGCACTTGTGAATGTTTGGCATATACCTATGGCATTGAAACAATCAACCAATATCAGCAATGTTCTGCCCAAAAAAGGCGCTTTAAAATCTCATAAACACATTCATATGTTGTTTTACGGTTTTACCCGAATCACTAAATGATTGCAAAGAATTTGCACTTGACTTGGCCTGGCAAACCGCCAACAACAAAGGATCACCCAACTCCTCAGTAAAAATATCAGGAGCAACCAATAATGACTTGCTATCGCACACTCCCACAACCCGCAACCGCACTCCCTGTTGGGTACCAAGAATGTTTGTTAGCTCAAAATTGATTCTTTATTTCTACATTAATAACACCTTAGAGTCTACATGTATAATTTGAAAGAAAATACAGTCTATGTATAAAAAAAAGAAAAAAAACAAATAAAATACAGTCTATAAGTACATTTGGACAGCGTTTAGATGGTAAAGATTGCAAATTTGTCATCCAAAAAATAAAAAAAAAAAAAGATTACCAATTTGGCATGAAGGGATCTGCAGGAAACAATGTGTTGGAGGAGCTGGCGACCAACGCCGCCGCAGCCCATCAACAATATGGGTATTTTCTTCATTTTGACTGTTTATTTCTGATTGCTTGGAAGACGTTGAGGGTCTGGTGGGATTACGGGAAGTCGGAACATGGTTCTGGGCTATGGGCTATGAACACTGGTTTAGAGCATTTACAAATTGGATAAAGCTATTTGTACCCCAGAATTTGTATCCCATTTTATACATAGATGCACCAACATTCTGTATTGGTGTAATGTTAATTGTTTTTAATGTAGCAAAACTTTGTGTCTTTGTAAATTTTTGTTAACGTACCAACATTTTGTATCAGTGTAGGCTATCAAAATGTTGGTGCATACTTTTGGTGTACAAATGATGTATAAATTTTGGGGTACATGTACGATGCTCCTTACAAATTACAATGATCCAAATTAGGCCTCGTATTCCACTAATTTTCCGTCTTGCCACAAATCCTGAAGATTCGTCTCTTTGTTTCTGTTAGGCCCCGTTTGGTACAAGGAATTGGTGAAATTGGAATTGAAATTCCATGGGATTCAATTTCATAGAATTGAATTCTGTCAATTTCAATTCACTTTTTGTACTATCAATTCCAAATCCACGTAATTTTTGTGCTACCAAACACTAGAATTGGAATTGAAGTCCCCAATTCCAATTTCATAGTTTGAATTCCATGTACCAAACGAGGCCTTTCAATATTTATTAATTTTAATTCAAAACTTATATTAGTATAATATTAATAAATTCCGTGCCTACGACTCTGCCTAAATTTAATGTACCAAAATCCTCAAGGAAGTAATTGCTATTTGACATTGCAATACTTGCTTCACTTGCCAATTGGCTTCATTCGGAATCATTAATATAAGAAAGGACCATGCTACACTTACACCAACAAATACTAGTATACCTCATTTGTACACTACAAGTTTGCACAAACATTTCGATGGTTTACACCGACACAAGTGTTGGTGCGTTAATAAAAATTCACACGGACACAAATGTTGGTGCGTTTAACAAAAATTAGTTTTACACCAACACAAAATGTTGGTGCAAAACTGCGGGGTACAAATTGAGTACAAATCCTAGGGTACACATAGCATAATTCTATAAGAAGTATTGGTGAAATGAAATATTTCTATGCCTTAGATAAATTGAGTACAAATCTTATGAATATGCATTTCAATATGTATCTGTTTAGATAAATATTTTTATCATTTTACTTGTTTTTCTATATTAATGATTTAATATTTAAACATAATTTATAGTGAAAAAAACATCCCCTATCTCCATATAAATGTATTTAATTGATGATTTGCTTACAATAATGTACATTTTGTAAATTCGAATTCATTTTAATACTTGGTCCGTCCCTGAGTGTTTGTCCACTTTTGACTTTTGGAACTGTTCATCTAAGCACTTTGACTCATCAAATTCTCTCAATGTGTAAGCCTAAAAATAGTCATGTGTGATCTTGTTTGATTCGTCTTAACATATAGATTATTAATATATAATTTTTATAATTTTTAATATACAAATTACAAGATAAAATAGATTAAAGAAGTGCATTGGATGGTGTGCAAAAATGAAAGTGGACAAACACTCAGGGACGGAGGGAGTATATAGTTTGGTATATAAAAGTTTTATTAAATTAAATACGGAGTATTTAAATAATTACTCCGGGTAATATTTATATGGATCTGTACAGGGTATTTTCAATGTTACTACAATATTGCTCCCTCCGTCCCTAAATATTTGCCACATTTGTATTCCCGAGGCAAAATATCAAGTTTTTTCAATTCATTTTATTTATATATTGGTATAGAAATAAAAAATAAAATTTACATATCAAAAAATTACATGAAAAGTTCTTCAAAATAAGAGGTGTCAAGAATATTTTATTTTATCAAATAACCAATGAAAACGTAGAAATAAACAAAAGTTCTCGCGACTGCTGAAAAAGCTAATGTTGCAAATATTTTGGGACGGAGGGAAGGGAGTATGAGTTTTGCACATAAGCACGGCGGTAGACGTGCCAACATCCATGCATAGTGCTGAAAAACTGACATGATTTGATTTTGATGTGCTATATACAGGAGGAACGGGGTGGACCTGCCTAACTTATTAGTCCACTCATAATACATTTGTGGCGGATTTGTGTCTCTTGTGCCGAAATTCATTGAAGTTTGGTACTACGGAGTATATTTTAGATTAGATTCCATAAAAGGTCCCCAGTTATAGGTCGTTTTACATATTTAGTCTTCATATATTAAATATTATTAATTTAGTCCCCACTTATTATATCATTTTTCACGAATGGTCCTTTGTTAACATTTTTGTTAAGAATATTGATAAAATTGTATATCTATACTTCTCTCTCTTCTCAATTAAGCTTCCTCCCTCCTCTCGTACTCTTTCTCAAACTCGTCATTGAGTTTGAAGCTCTAAACCCAAAATTAAAAATGATCACTCCTCTTTCAATAAGCTTTATGGATGAGTTTTATCTGTTAGTCTCAAGAAATTACAAAGAAAATAAACATTAAACTCATCCATGAAGGTTATTGGCTTCGAATTTGGGTTCCACCCGTTCGACAAACAATTGAGATAAGAGTGATAATTTTGGTTTTGGGTTCAAAGCTTCAAACTCAACGACGGGTTTGGGAAAGGAGCGCGAGGGGAGAGAAGAAAATTAATTGGGAAGAGAAAAGAGTGTGAATTTATAATTTTATCCACGTTTTAAAGGAAACATTAACAAAGGACCATTCGTGGAAATGAACATAAGAATTGGGGACTAAATTTGTTATATTTGATATATAAGGACTAAATATGTAAAACGACCTATAACTGGGGACCTTTTATGGAATTTAATCTATATTTTAATAGCATTTGTTTGTGTATTTTCAATGGCTTTTTAATATAAAATTATTTAGGTTACATCTTATTTTTTAGAGCATATCACTTATGACTTATTTTGAAAAATAATTCCTCCGCAATCCTTTAATATAATAAAAGAGACTCGGATGCACGAGAATGCGACATTTGGCATGCCTATTTGGCAGAAAATGGAACAAATCAGCAAGCCACGTAATAATAGAAAAATAAAAGAAAACAACAAATATCAGGAGCATTATCTTCGCGACAGTCACGATGAAGATCTGCCGAGCTTGGAGATTTTCGAAATCAAACCTTTCCTTCTATGGTCGCTGTAGAAACGGAAGAAATTGGATGAAGATCTTCCGAGATAATTCCGGGAGATTTTCTCGAAATTCAAGGCTCCTTTCCTTCTATGGTCGCTAGAGAACCCTGAAGAAATTGGATGAAGATCTACAAGATAATCCTGGAGATTTTCGAATTCAAAGCTCCTTTCCTTCTATGGTCGCTGGAGAAACGGAAGAAATTGGAGAAATGCTGGGATTCAAAACTCTTTGCCTTCAAAAAATGAAGAAATTGGAGAAACGCTTATGATTGCTAAATCTTTGGCGGAGAAAGAGGGACGATTGTGCCTTCAAAATTAGGTAAGTCCGATTCACAACCTATGCACGATTCTGATTTAGCTTCCAAAATTAGGACTTTTCTTATTTCTTATATATCACGTTGGATTACATTCATTTCAATTGTGTTCTTCTCGATTTAAAATTTTTGCATTGGAAATAAAACTACAAATGAATTGTTTTTTGTTTGCTGAATCGTCATGTCTTTCAAGCCCATTCACCCTTTATCAAAAATCAATCCGATAAGTGAGTGTTGGAGGATTTGTGTTCGTGTGATACAGTTGTATACGTTGCCTGCGTTCAACGATAACAAGGCAACAAACTCAATAGAGATGGTGTTCCTCGACGAACACCTAAGTATATATATCATATGTTAAATGTTTATAAAAGTTTAGCCTCTGTTCCAAGTTTTTATATATTTCATGTTTTTTTTCAACCAATGTTTCTGTCCATATATTGAACCGATCTTTCTTTAACCAATGTTTTGTTTGAAACATGTTTTAATGTAAAAACATTAAGGAGATGGACGAAGTTGGTGATGTCATGTTGAGATTCCACTTGAATTCTTAATTCTTGATACAAGTTCGCCTATGAAGAGTATAGTGGAATTCACTTATCCGAATATATTAGAGAATATGAAAAATTATTCTTTTTTTGAGGATAGAGCACTATTGGCACCAACTCTCGAAGTAGTTGAAATGATAAATGAATTTGTCATGTCCCTCATTTCTGGTGATGAAAAGAAATACTTGAGTTCTGATTCTTCGTGCCAAGCAGATGCAGATGTAGGTGTTGATGGCGATTGGATAATAGTTGAGTTTTTGAATGAAATCAAATGTTTGGGAATCCCAAACCACAAAATAGTTTTGAAAAAAGGGGTACCGATTATGCTATTGAGCTGAGGAACATTGACCAAACATCTTGATTGTGTAATGAGACAAGATTAATCGTTCAAGAGTTGTGAAATAATCTTATTGGTGCAGTTGTGGTTTCGGGAAATCAAGTCGGGGAAAAAGTTTACATCTCTAGAATGAATTTGATACCATCTGATCCAGGCCTACCCTTGAAGTTCCAAATAAGACAATTTCATATCACCTTATGTTTTGCTATGATTATCAACTAAAGTCAAGGTTAAACAATGTCATTTGTGGGGTTATTTTTAATCAAGTCGGTGTTCACACATGGTCAGCTATATGTTGCTGTTTCACGAGTGAAGACAAATACAAGATTAAAGATATTGGTTCTAGATGATAATGGAAACCCTTCCAACCATGCATACCAAAAATATTGTATATGTTGAAGTCTTTCAGAAAATTTGGTATTAGAATAAACATTATTAACTCTACATTCTGTTCCACAAATATTATGTATTTTACTTTGGATTATTTCATCTGTATTATTAAAATTAATTTGCACAATAAATCTTAACCATACCAAAAAATAAATTTCATTGAAATAATTCAGAATCGACATAAATTGCGTTCGACCCCGTGAATGGCACGGGTTAGAATAATAGTTTTTTATGTACCCACACACAATTTTACAATGATTTCTTTTTTTAAATGTACGTAGTATATTGCAATAGAAGGTTTATGCATGTGAAATCCGAGAATAAGAAAAACTCTCCCGTGTTACAATTGTCATCTTAAGTTGACTTTTTTTAATTGTCAAACGATGACATTTTTTAACACAAGTATTCAAAATAGTATATTTAGTAATAATATAAGTACTCCCTCCGTCCGGAAATGTTTTTCCCGTGTTGACTTGGCACGCTTATTAAGGAATAGTAAAAAAATGCAAAATTTTCAAAAATGCACATACTATAAACTTTTAAATATCCTTTTATTATTAAAAAAGTATTAAAAAAGTAGATTTGTGATAAAATAGAAGGGTATTATTGATATTTAGCCTTAAAAAGCATACTTAAAAAGGAAATAAGAAGATTATTTCCGGACGGACCAAAAAGGAAAATGGGAAGAATATTTTCGGACGGAGGGAGTATATTATAATTACAAAAATTTTAATATTGTTAAATATGATCACAGATATATACTAGTATTACTTTTATTATTTAGAAATATCTTGTTTCCTTTTTACCTGTATCTAACATTACGCCTCTCCCGGACCCTGTTTCCACCGGCAAAGGAGGATAGGAGATTCAATCAGAATTGGATCATCTTCTTTGTGGCAATGTAGAGCTTCTTCGTTGAAGGAGTAACAATTTTTGTAACCTTGATTGGTTGATAATTAATTCCGAAGAAGAGAGAGACCCAACGAAGCCAAAGAACAGTACATCGCCGCCTCCACGAATCCGTGCGGCGGTGCCCTCCGTGGATGTGGATCCGGATTATTTTTGCATTGCCAAGTGGGATTTTAGTGTCGGTGGCGAGTCAGCTCGGGTCCGAGACTCAATTGAGGAGTGTTGAGCCGGAGATACCGAAGATGAATTCTGGCCGGGATAAGGGTTGTTAGTAGGAGGAGGAAGCTTCGGCCCAAGGTGATGGGTGACGGTTGGTGGCGGAAGCTGGCTTTTCTGGTGAGGAGAGTCTGCTTTAATTTGCCGTCTCTGCTCCCGTCAAAGATCCCAGTCATGAATTGGCGTGGATGACATGATGCAGCTCGTCCTGCATAAAATCCTCGAGGATTTTTAATTAGGTCATGAGCTATTCTCCCACACTATATTTGGCCCAGGTATTCCAAATATTCAGAAGCATTGCATTTTAGAATCACGTTTTGAAATGCTTGATTTTGCATATAAAATCTATGCCCGTATATAATCCTATTGAATGCTCTATTGTAATCTGTATTTGAATATGGTTTCTTCCACACTTGAGTGCTTACTTAGCATCTTAAAAAAAGAATTTCTTCTTTATTGAAAATTTGGTTTTCCAGATGAAGGCATAGACTTATCTCTTGGATATGTACATAGTAAAAGATTTTTTTTTTTTTTTTTTTTTTTGGCATGATTAAAAACACTCTACATTAGACTAATCCTTTTATTGAGGCTGAACACATTAATACTGCTTACCTACTCATGTTCTTGGATATTCATCTAGGACATTCTTTATTGAATAATTTGAGTTATAATGTTAGGCTTGCATTTTGCCTAAAATTAATATCTTGAATGTGGTCATACAGGAAAAACATGTATATTTTTGTTATTTTGTTTACAAATGTGATATATATTTTTGTTGATTCATATGTGAGAAATACATGACATATAAAAGAGAACTTCAGTTGAAGTGTCAAATTTTGTCCCCAAAGTAAATCAAATTTGATTTTTATTCTAACAGAAAACTTCTGGGTACCCCCTATTTTGAGAAATTAACTGTCGGGTACCTCACATTTTTATAATATTCTCCAAAGTACCCTCTATTTTGAGAAACTAACTATCGGGTACCTCACATCTTTAAAATTTACTCCGGGGTACCTCCAAGTATACATAACTTATTATCCGTATGGGACATTCCATCTCACTCTCTGTCAAAGACAGTTACGCCATTAATTTTAAGAAATAAGGGTTTGGGATTCCAAAAATAACCTGGGTTCATATACTTTAAGGATACGATCTATCCAATTTAATCGAAGCTTTTGAATGAAACAGAATGTCCCTCACGGGTACGTTAATATACATTTGGAGGTACCCTGGAACATATTTTAAAAATATGAGTTACCCGACACTTAATTTCTCAAAATAGAGGATACCCCAATGTATATTTTAAAAATATGAGGTACCCGGCAGTTAGTTTCTCAAAATAGGAGTACCCAGGCGCAGTTTTTTGTTTATTCTAAAGTCCATAATCTCTCAAAGAGAATAACAAAATAGATTTTTTTTAATTAAGCATTTTAGCATTTTCCAGAAGTAAAATGGCCTAATCGTTTTTAAAAAATATATTATTTCAATGCATTTTCTCCTTATGCAATGACATTACATTTTAATGTAATATACTAAGTTGTAATAAAATTTATGTGACCAATATATGTAATTGCATGTTATATGTGGTTTAAGATTACAAAATAGTGTTTGAGAATCTAATTTACTCTAAAGTGGTAGTATAAGGATAAAAATTCATATACTCCATATTTGGTTACATTTTCCCCCCATTGTTATGAAATTTTTTTTATGAAAAAAATTCATGTTACATATTCCTTCTCTGAAAAGAGTGACAAATTGATTGACATGCATGAATATAAGAGTATTGAAAAATATTCCTCAAGAATATTTAATTCTGAAAAGAAATCCTTAAGATGTATAATCTCTTAAATTAAATAAGAGTTATCATGTTCATCAAACACAATATATGAGGTACTACCTATGATCTTACAATGTCCAATTACCACGCGCAGTGACTTATTTTTAGGAATAAAATATTTTTCGAGTTCTTATTTGTAATCTATATGATGGACAAGAATTCCACCAAATAATCCGACTTAATAGACGGATCGTAAGAACAATTAAGAAATGAGAACTCGAGAATTGTGAAATTATACACTAGCTTTTGCTTGAGGTTTTCCATTCGTATCCCCTCTTTCTATACATGTTCTTTACATAATTAAGGTAGTTTGTCGATTATGGAAACTAATCCCGTGATTCGCGTGATCCTCATCACATGCCCCCAACTCCTCATTCCTTAGACATGCCATGTCGAGGGATGGGGAGCTATCGAGGTCCACATGTGCCTTCCTTCAACGGATCCAAGCCGTCTCTTGATATCCGTGTGGCAGTTGGCTCGATTACCCCCAAAAGAAATCATAACCTGCTTCTTCGCCTTCCACTCTAGTTTGATAAAAGCACCGCTGGACGCCATTTTCATCTCATCGTTTGCTTGTCCAATCTCCAGTTGCGCCCCGACCCATTTTCTTCATCTCCAGGTCAGTCCTCCGCTTACCATCATGTCGGCTTTGGATTCTTATTCTCCTACTCTGTCTTCTAGTTCCCTTCAGGCTGATCAACCCCGGCCCCTTCCGGCCAGGATCAAGGCCTGTCTAGCATGCCTTAGCCATCATCGGCGGCCGCGACCAGCTAGAAACATCGCCAAATGAGGAAACAATTCTCTCCTGCAAAAACCGTGTTAAGGGCCCTAGGGTTGAATTGGAGGAGAACATTATGGCTTTATGCCATTGCCAAATTTTGGACCAAGGATTCACCGACGCTACTGATATGGTCGGTCCCACCATTGAAGTTCATTGGCCCAGCAATACTGTGACCGCCCTAGACACTCCCATGGGGTTCTTCACGGTCCATCTTGTTTCGTTGAAGAGAGGGCTGCGATTCCCTATGCACCCTCTCTTGGTGGGTTTTCTCAATGGAGTGGATCTCCCTCCTTGCCAATTAGTCCCCAATTCACATCGCTAAAGAACAGTTGTCAGCATCTGTTTTTGGTGTATTGCATATACTATATATTTTGATTTAAATTGCCACATCATTCAAGTCATTAATAGGTGGCAGATAATATATTAAAATTTTGCCAAGTGGGCTCGCCATATGTCGCGATTTTGAGAATTCAACTCTAAAAGTTTATATATAAAGATTCCAAAAAGCTAAAGCAAATGATGTTTTAATTGGTTCATAGCTTTTCTCTTTCGTCTAAACAAATTTTAGTTAATCACTTTTTATTTTCAATAGTCTTTTAATCTATATGAAATTGAACCAAGATAGATGAACTCATGAAGGCTCATGAGGCACAACATATTACGCTTTACTATCTTTTTACGTTAAAAAATCACACAATTTAGGTAAAAAATATAGCCCTTATTTCCAAAATGGTAGTGTTATGTTTTATGTTCAAAATCAAAGCACGCACAATAATAATGAGGTTTTCTGTATTGATATTTCGATCCACAAAGTTTCTTGATAATATATTATCTATTATTACATTGATGTCCCATTTTAAATTGAAATTATGAAGGTCTTATTATGATAAGGTCTGATACGAGAGTGCCAGGATTGGGAGGGCTTCGAGTGCCTTCGAACTCCAGAAACTAAGGTAAAGAGAGAGAAAGCTTCAACCGCAGGAGGCTGAGCTAGAGATACGGAAAAAGGATCAGGGTTTGCTATTTTCTTCCTTCAATGTTAAAAGTGGTGTACATCTCTATTTATAGCTAATAGAGAAACCCTTAACCTAATTAATATGTTTTCTACCCTGGACGTTCAAGAAAAGCGACGAGGTAAAAAATCGCAAAGAAACCCTTGAATGAGCTTATAATTTTGCTCACCTAATAAAAATCTAGAATACAATAAAAGAATAATAAATATCAAGTAGCGTAATCCTTTCGCCACAACGGGCTTCACCTTGTTCTTGAACTCTTACGTACCTCGGGTACGTCTTCCTCTCGCCTTCCTACGTTCTCTTCCAGACCCGTGTTCGTTGCATCCGTAATCCGTATCATCCCTCAAAGTGTCGTCCGAGAACTCCTGTTTGATCTGTCATAACAAGGTCACATATTCGACAGTGGAGATAGTATTTCTATGTGTTTTTAATATATAGTTTGAGATTGTGTGAATATTTATTAAATTCTACACAATAATATATTTATTTGTATTTAAAAAATTAAATTTTATGGAGCATATAATAAAAAGATTAAAAATTTATGTAGCAAAATTTATTATAACTATTGCATATTGTTTTCTCATTCGAAAGGTTTTAATGAAATACCAAAATTGAAAAAGTTTTATTGTCCCTTTTATTTATTCACGAGATGACTTTCTTTTTATAAAAATAATACTTTGTCGCGTGTTTTGTGCATTATATTCTACTCCGTATTACTCACGACTACTACTACATAGCGCTTCCCATAATATTCCGGAAGACTAATGATGATGATGAACCATGACGATGATGATCATGATGATGATGATGATGATGATGATGATGATGATGATGATGATGATGATGATGATGATGATAATAATAATAATAGTAATAGTAATAATAATAATAATAATAATAATAATAATACGGGAATAATCTTTTGACCTTGGCTAAAAATAACTTCAAATGACCTTGACATTTTAGAGCTTATAATTTTGCTCACTTAATAAAAATCTAGAATACAATAAAAGAATAATAAATATCAAGTAGCGTAATCCTTTCGCCACAACGGGCTTCACCTTGTTCTTGAACTCCTACGTACCTCGGGTACGCGACGTCTTCCTCTCGCTTGCCTACGTTCTCTTCCAGACCCGTGTTCGTTGCCTCCGTAATCCTTATCATCCCTCAAAGTGTCGTCCGAGAACTCCGTTCTTTGATCTGTCATAACAAGGTCACATATTCGACCGTGGAGAAAGTATTTCTATGTGTTTTTAATAGTTTGAGATTGTATGAATATTTATTAAATTCTACACAATAATATAGTTATTTGTATTTAAAAAAATTAAATTTTATGGAGCATATAATAAAAAGATTAAAAATTTATGTAGCAAAATTTATTATAACTATTGCATATTGTTTTCTCATTCAAAAGGTTTTAATGAAATACCAAAATTGAAAAAGTTTTATTGCCCCTTTTATTTATTCACGAGATGACTTTCTTTTTATAAAAATAATACTTTGTCTCGTGTTTTGTGCATTATATTCTACTCCGTATTACTCACGACTACTACTACATAACGCTTCCCATAATATTCCGGAAGACTAATGATGATGATGACGATGAACCATGACGATGATGATCATGATGATGATGCTGATGATGATGATGATAATAATAATAATAATAGTACTAATAATAATAATAATAATAATGATAATGATAATGATAATCATAATGATAATAATAATAATAATAATAATAATAATAATAATAATAATAATAATAATAATATTAATACGGGAATAATCTTTTGACCTTGGCTAAAAATAACTTTAAATGACCTTGACATTTTAGAGCTTATAATTTTGCTCACCAAATAAAAATCTAGAATACAATAAAAGAATACTGTAATAAATATCAAGTAGCGTAATCCTTTTGCCACAACGGGCTTCACCTTGTTCTTGAACTCCTACGTACCTCGGGTACGTCTTCCTCTCGCCTTCCTACGTTCTCTTCCACACCCGTGTTCGTTGCCTCTGTAATCTGTATCATCCCTCAAAGTGTCGTCCGAGAACTCCGTTGTTTGATCTGTCATAACAAGGTCACATATTCGACAGAGGAGATAGTATTTTTATGTGTTTTTAATATATAGTTTGAGATTGTGTGAATATTTATTAAATTCTACACAATAATATATTTATTTGTATTTAAAAAATTAAATTTTATGGAGCGTATAATAAAAAGATTAAAAAGTTATGTAGCAAAATTTATTATAACTATTGCATATTGTTTTCTCATTCGAAAGGTTTTAATGAAATACCAAAATTATAAAAGTTTTATTGTCCCTTTTATTTATTCACGAGATGACTTTCTTTTTATAAAAATAATACTTTGTCGCGTGTTTTGTGCATTATATTATACTCCGTATTACTCACGACTACTACTACATAACGCTTCCCATAATATTCCGGAAGACTAATGATGATGATGACGATGAACCATGACGATGATGATGATGATGATGATGATGATGATGATAATAATAGTAATAGTAATAGTAATAGTAATAATAATAATAATAATAATAATAATAATAATAATAATAATAATTATAATAATAATAATATGGGAATAATCTTTTGACCTTGGCTAAAAATAACTTCAAATGACCTTGACATTTTAGAGCTTATAATTTTGCTCACCTAATAAAAATCTAGAATACAATAAAAGAATAATAAATATCAAGTAGCGTAATCCTTTTGCCACAACGGGCTTCACCTTGTTCTTGAACTCCTACGTACATCGGGTACGTCTTCCTCTCGCCTTCTTACGTTCTCTTCCAGACCCGTGTTTGTTGCCTCCGTAATCCGTATCATCCCTCAAAGTGTCGTCCGAGAACTCCGTTGTTTGATCTGTCATAACAAGGTCACATATTCGACAGTGGAGACAGTATTTCTATGTGTTTTTAATAGTTTGAGATTGTGTGAATATTTATTAAATTCTACACAATAATATAGTTATTTGTATTTAAAAAATTAAATTTTATGGAGCATATAATAAAAAGATTAAAAATTTATGTAGCAAAATTTATTATAACTATTGCATATTGTTTTCTCATTTGAAAGGTTTTAATGAAATACCAAAATTGAAAAAGTTTTATTGTCCCTTTTATTTATTCACGAGATGACTTTCTTTTTATAAATATAATACTTTGTCGCGTGTTTTGTGCATTATATTCTACTCCGTATTACTCACGACTACTACTACATAGCGCTTCCCATAATATTCCGGAAGACTAATGATGATGATGACGATGAACCATGACGATGATGATCATGATGATGATGATGATGATGATGATGATAATAATAATAATAATAATAGTACTAATAATAACCATAATAATAGTAATAATAATAATAATAATAATAATAATAATAATAATAATAATTGTTGGGTTATGGAACCCGGGGGCCTAGGTAACTAGGCAGATGAGTATCGAACTAAGCACGAGCGCACAAGGTATGAGGGGTCAAGGGGATTGAGAGTAATAATGTGCTGGTAAGAGTATCACTTAGAACGTAAGTCCGGAGTGTGTGGAATGAGCTCCTTCCTTCCCCCCCCCCTTCCCTCTTCCTAGAAGAGGGGTATTTATAATGGGAGAGTGAGGGCTAGGGTTTACATACAAAGACCAATGGGCCGGCCCAACAGGCTGGGCCGCCCTAAATAAGTAATTAATGAACGACTAACGGGCCGATCGCACAAACTGGACCGCCCCGACTAATATTATACAAAGAACGGATACCCCCTGTCCGGGGTATCCATCAATAATAATAATAATAATAATAATAATAATTATAGTAATAATAATAATAATACGACAATAATCTTTTGACCTTGGCTAAAATAACTTCAAATGACCTTGACATTTTAGAGTTCTTACCCCCTAGACCCCTCGGTCTTTCATGCACTCACGTGAGCCCTCTCTAGATTGTGGATTTGGAAAAGGCCAAACCGGCAATCTAGGGTGGCAAAGCCCGAGGCAGGTGGGGCTGGAGAATTTAGGGAGGATTAAAGGGGTACAAACTATTAATTTAAAGACGGAACATCATAGAAGTCTCGATCCATTTTAAGGTCAAAATAGCACGAGTTTAAAGAACTTTTGGGATAATAAAAATATTATAATAATAAGTCATATTATTATTACTATTATTGTTGTTGTAATTATTATTGTAACTATTTTTAATTTGTGTATACTCACATATTTTTCATGGGCTCATAGTTAGATTTTCTTAATTTTACAACATTAACTAGTTTTCTACCCCGTGCTTTGCACGGGCTTGAAATGTGGTCCGGTGTCTATTAATTAAGATTATCATGATTTTAAAGAATAACAATAACAACAACAACAATAACAACATGATCCTATATTTTTTGATCTATTCTTATTAAAAAATACGATTCCGTCTTTCCTTTTTAATTCTATTTACATTAAAAACATACTATTATTTAAAAATAACTTCCTTTGCTTTTTCTAAATAATAATAATACTAATATCATCGATCCTATATTTCTTTTTTGTTAATTCTTTACTATTTTTAATCAGATCCCATAAAAAACACAGTTTTAAATATTTTTTATGTACTAAAATAATCACGATTTTAAATAATAATAATAACATCGGTCTTATATTTCTTTGTTAATTCATTACTTTTTTTAATCCGTTCCCATAAAAAACGGTTTCTTCTTTCCTTTTTGATTTTGTTTACATTAAAGACACAATCTTGTTTGAAAATAACTTCCTTTACTTTTTTAAAGAAGAATAATAATACTAATAATATCATCGGTCCGATATTTTGTTTTTTGTTAATTCCTTACTTTTTAAAATCTTTTATCATAAAAAACACGGTTTTAAATCTTTATCATGTCCCTACTTAATCATGATTATTAAATAACAACGTAACAACAACAACAACAACAACAACAACAACAACAACAATAATAATAATAATAATAATAATAATAATAATAATATAAATTATAATAATAATAAGAAAAAGAATAATAATAATTAAAAAATAATAATAACAATAGCAACGGTCCTATATATATTTCATTGTTTGTTAATTTGTTACTTTTTTTTAAAACGTTCTCATGAAAAAAGGGTTTCTTCTTTCCTTGTTTGTTAATTCTTTATTTTTTAAAAATGTTCCCAAAAAAAATACAATTTCTTCTTTTCTTTTTAATTTTGTATACAACGGTGGATTACATATTTATTTTGGTCTGATATTTCCATGTTTGTAGATTTTTTACCTTTTTCTTTACTAATGGTACCAAGAGAAATAACTTTCCTTATTCGATCTTAAAACACTGGATTATATATCATCCGTAGATCTCATTTTTTTCTAAGAATCAATGGTTAAGATTGCTTTTCATTTGGGAGGGAAAACGCTGATGCATTTTTCCCTTGCTTTTAAGAATAGAATGATAAAATGAGCATATACGACCTAGTTACTGGAACCACAAAAAAATTAGGCTTTTAGAAAACACTTCAAAAGTTTTATTACGAACATATTCTATTAAGAAATTCTTCTAAATAGGAGTAAAAAAGTATGAAATACCAAAATGGAAGTATAATTAAGTCTTTTAAGACCAAAATAGATGTATAAAGACAGTGTGATATAAGACTACACGTTGATAATGTGATAGAAACGTGATGAAAATGTAATATGGCAGTGTGATCAGTAAACCATCGAGATCCACAACAGCACGCTCTGGTGGGCGGCGACGACCGGTGGCAGCGTGAAAGTAATAATGTGACAGTTGGAATGTGACAATATAGTGAATGTGGCAGTATAACAATGACAGTGTGAACATTTATTTTAAACTTAAAAGAATTAGAACTCTTATTTTATTATTGTTGTAATTTTTTACTCGAATTTCCCTTTTTTTTACCCCAATATGTTATTACTCCGTATTTTGCAAGGAAACTTTGCAAAGTCAAGAAAGCACTTTAAAATTTTGATCAATCTCTAGACTTTTTCGTTTGATTTTCTAATCTCCTCATTACAATACGGAGTAATAAGTAAAACTCTCTCTTTTTCTTTTTTCCCTTTTTTGACTTTCGTTATATTTTAAACTTTCATCATAATTTAGAGAATAAATAAATGTAATAATCATATACATTCAATATCATTTTAAAAAGAATTACAATACAGTAGGAGTGAAATTTATAGTTTCAATCTATAAACTTCTTCTGTCCCAAAAAGAATTTCCTACTTTGATTAACGTGCAAAATCCCGTAGATTTTAAAATAATTTTATTTGCAAATTGGTAAAGAAATAACGCATATGAAAGAATTAATTCGGAGAAATAAACACAAAAAAATTACAAAAAACTAAAAACACAGTAAGAAGAAGATATTCCATATGTAAAATAAAAATTACAAACAAATTTTATGTATTACGGATGGAGGATATATATTTTATTTAAAGTTTTTAAGAGAAATTAAAAATATTAGTGTTTGAAAATGTTTAGTGTATGTTACACATTAAAAATAAATTGTAGTATTATTTTAATACATACAGTCGGATATTTTAAATTAAGTAAATAAAATCAAATTTAAAAAAATAAAAAATCACATTTTTCCGGTCCGGTCCCAAGCCGGTGCTCACCTTAATTGGTCCAGTCCTCAGTTTACAAAATCTCAAGATCCGGGTTTGACCCGATCAATGAACACCCCTGTATATATGTGGGGTGCTCGACGGTGAATGGAGGAACTCGATCAAGACTCGGGCCTAAGAGTAACAGAAGAAAAATTGAACTGCTAATAAAAAGTAATAATGTTTCCGGCCCTAGTATTATCATTTCTTCTACTGTCATCAGTAGCTGGTAACACAGAAGGTTCGTACGTTCCCTTTATTTTCAAATCTCTTGCATCGTAATTACTCTACTTATCACATTCAATTCACTACATTATCAAACTGCAACTGCTACACTATCACTGTGGCTGATCACATGCTATATTAAAGTGTGATCACTCTTTCACCGCCCTGCATTTTTTTCCCATTTTGTTTGTATATGTCAGTTGATGCTTTGATGGCATTGAAGACGAAGTTGTTCGATCCGAACAATGTTCTACAATCCTGGGATGGATCCCTTAACGATCCTTGCACCTGGTTTCATGTTAGCTGCAACAACAATAACAAACTTGTATCAATGTAAGTGTTATTGTTAGAGTACATCTCACATCGAAAATCCAAGAGTAAAATAATCGGTATATAAGCTCTAGAGTTGAACTAACTAATCGATTGGATTCAATCTTTTAATGTGGTTCAACCCAAGTGTCTTATTGCCCCAATCTAGTTGTCCATACCCATCCTAAATTCTTATCAGTTATCCCGATTCCCGACCTTGTCATTTCGGTGTTACTTTATAATTTTGTTTTTAGTGACAAAATATTAGTGTTTAGTATATATATATATATATATATATATATATATATATATATGGGATTGACTCCAGTGAGATGACACCTTACGGTGAGATGACATGTTTCGGTCAGATGACACAAAGCTCACCACTGGTCACTGCAAAGCTCACCAAAGACAACTACAAAACTCGCCAAAGTGTAAGGCAAACCTCACCATATTTTTTCAACACTTGGAATTTTTTTCCCAAAGAAAAATCAAAGGAAAGGGTGCTGACTGGACTTTGACTGCATTGACCGCCAACATTGACCGCCGCCTGCCACCGGTCGCCGGAATCCGGTCACCGCCGCTGCCGGTCGCCGCCGCTGGTCGCCGGAATCCGGTCACAGTCGCCGCCGGTCGCCAGACTCTGGCCGCCGCCGCCGGGCTCCGGCCGCCACTGCTGCTCCGCCGCCCTTGACCAGTGGTTGACCGGTGTTGTTATTTTATTTTTAATTAATTTTTTAATTTTTAAAATTTGAAAAATAGTGAGTTTTGGGGTTTAAAGTGGTGAGCTTTGCTTTATTTTCAGGTGAGCTTTGCATTGTCCATTGGTGAGCTTTGTAGTGTAGTGTTGTGAGCTTTGCTTTATTAGCTTTTTTTTTTTTTAAAAAAAGTAGTGAGCTTTGCATTGTTCCTTGATGAGCTTTCCGTTGACAGTTGGTGAGCTTTGCATTGATAGTTGGTGAGCTTTACACTTTGACCGCCCATGACCAATGGCCACCACCGATGACATCCACTATTGCCGTGGACCGGTGGTTGAGCGGTGGTTGAGTGGTGGTTGAGTGGTGGTGTTATTTTTTTAACTTTTTTTATTTAAAAAAAAGTGGTGAGCTTTCCATTGACAGTTGGTGAGCTTTGCATTGGTAGTTGGTGAGCTTTGCATTGGCAGTTGGTGAGCTTTCCATTGGCAGTGTTGTCTGTTGTGTCATCTCATTGAAGCATGTCATCTTACTATAAGGTGTCATCTCACTGGAGTCAATCCCTATATATATATATACAAAAGAATTAAAATTCTCGAGTAATCGAGATATTTTAATTAGACCCTGACCTTTTTCTGGTTTTGTGGCTCCCACGCATATATCAATATATGTTTAATTAAACACCTACGTATTTATTTTTAGTGATCTGGGAAAGGCAAATCTGGCAGGCGGCGAATTGGTCCCTGAGCTTGGCAAACTTGAATATTTACAGAACTTGTAAGTTTTCTTAATTTTCCCTTTTTCTTTGGCGTGTAAATGTGTAATATGCTTTCCCCCCCTTTTTTTTCCTGTTCTCAGTTTAAGTTGTTGACCTTTGTGTTAGAAATAAGCATTACTACAAGAAATATTTGCACTAAAAAAAAGTTCTCTCTTTAATTTTACTCCATCCGATTTGGTCCCAAAGTGCTTGTCTAATTTTGATATTTTGTAATAAAAATTGACAAATTTTAATCATGGTTAGATTTATCTTGTAAATCAAAATGTTTTCAAAATATGTTTTTATCTAATGAATAAGAAATTTATTTAATTATACGCCAAAGAGGGTTGATGATAAAAAATCAAAACCAGAAAAATACTTTGAGACGGAAGAAGCTAAGTCTATTTAAAGAGAAATGAGTTTGCATCGTCATATAACATTTCTCTTTTTTAGGAAATAAATTCTACCTACCAATTTATTTCCAAAATAGGAATTAAAATAGTGAAATTTGCACTAAATAGGACTAAAACATAATGACTTTCCTAATGTAGGACTTAAACTTTTTTATTCCTAAATAGGACTTATTAATGACCTAGTGGAAGGAATAATGTCCAGTAATGATGAATATTTAGTTGAATAATGACTACTTGATAATGAACAAAGGTCCTACATTAAGAAATAAAAACATATGGTCCTATATTGGGAAAGTCATTATGTTTTAGTCCTATTTAGGTAAATTTCTCATTAAAATACATATATCATGCCAACCATGCCAATAATAAGATCAAAAAGTATCGTGAAATGTTCAGTATCACATTATCAAAATACAAACTTATATTTTAGAGATAAAAATATAGGATTTTCAATTTTTACTTTTGATAGGTTTTATTCCTATTTAAGTGATTTATTCTTATTTTCTTCTTCTTTTTTTTACCAGAGAACTATATTCAAATAACTTAAGTGGTGAAATTCCTACGGAACTTGGCAACTTAAAAAACCTCAACTCTTTGGATCTCTATGGTAACAGCTTGACCGGTCCCATCCCTCCTACTTTGGGCAAACTCGCTCAACTTAAATTTATGTAAGAGCATGCGCGTCTCGATCTCGATTACTATAATTTCATCATTTGGTTAACTATTATACACAGAGGTCCCGTTTGGCATCAGCATTTTGAAAAGACTATCTGATGTTAAGATAGTTTTTAGTGTTAGCATTGTCAGAATGAATCTACACCATTAAAATTTATAAAATGTTAACGATAATCGAAAACGTTCTTCTCATACAAGGCCATATTCGATCTAACGTCTTTGAAAGAATCTAGTAAGAGTTTGATTCGATGTTCTTGAAAAAAATTTAAAAAATGAGCGGTTAATATGTACTCCCTCTATCTCAGAGTATTTGTCCACTTTCATTTTTACACATCATCCAATACACTTCTTTAATCCATTTTATCTTGTAATTTGTATATTAAAAAATTATAAAAATTATACTCCGTATATTAATAATCTATATGTTAAGACAAATCAAACAAGATCACACATGACTATATTTAGGCTTACACATTGAGAGAATTTGATGAGTCAAAGTGCTTAGATGAACAGTTCCAAAAGTCAAAAGTGGACGAATATAGCGGGACGGAGGGAGTAGTTATTAATTCCTCCATCTCATAAAGATGTCCCTACTTTGACTCTTAAAAAATTTAAGAGAGACATATTTTTGTGTTGATTTTCTAAAAATACCCTTGATATGATGTGTAAAAGTAGGACGTGATGAACAGATTATAAGTAAAAGAATATGATGTCATAGGCAGGATAAAAATTAATTGGGATAAAAGTAACTTTTTAATAGAAAGATGAAAGACTCTGTGGGACAAGAAAAAAAAGAGTTTATGAGACGGAGGAAGCATGTTTTAAGACGTCAAAGTAAAGTGTAAAATTAATTATTTACAAGATGATGGGAGTACGTATTGAATAAGGATTTGTTTGGGAACAATGTTTTCAATTAGCGTTAGCATTTTGGATAAAATTTTAATGATGTAGATTAATTCTGAAAACGCTAACGCTAAAGACTACAGTCGGATAGCCTTTTCAAAACGTTAATCTCTAACGCTAATGTCAAACAGGGTCTAAGATTTCATATTCAGATCATGCAGGCGGCTGTCTCAGAACAAATTAAGCGGGAATATTCCAGCAGAGCTTGGGAATTTGCCCAATTTGGATACTTTGGAATTGCACATGAACAATTTGGGTGGTCCCATCCCAAGCCAGCTGGGCAATCTCCAAAAATTGCAGACCATGTAACAAAATACGGAGTAATTAATTATACAAATTTTTCTGCTCTCCCATATAACTATTTATTTCCCAACAATGTTAATTGTGTTTCATCAATTCGATCTTTTGAAGGAGACTCAACCTCAACAAACTGACTGGAAACGTTCCACAATCATTTGCCAACCTTAATTCACTCACTTTCCTGTACGCATCAATTAATTAATTACTCCTATAAACTTATTAATTGCTAATTAAATACGGAGTATAATTGAACTAACTTAAATTGTGGAACCCATTGCATTGCATGCTGCAGTGATTTAACGAGCAACGCTCTCTCAGGAACAATTCATCTCGATCATGGTGCATTTTTAAAATTCACTTGTGCAAGGTCCGTTTCATCATTTGCTTGAATTTGTATACAACAATATATAATTATATATCTCCATACCCGAAAAAACTTAGGCTCCGTTTGATATACGGAATTCAAATTATGGAATTGAAATTAGAGACAACAATTTCAATTCTGCTGTTTGGTAGCACAAAAAATATATGGATTTGGATTTGGTAGTGCCAAAAATGAATAGTAATTGGAGAATTCAACTTCATCCAAATCAATTCTGTTGAATTTTAACTCCAGTTCAATTCCGTGTACCAAACGGACCCTTAATTATTTCATTTATCTATTTTTTTTTTATCATGGTCTTTTACTCTTTTAACATTTAACTTTCAAATAGTTGTGCTTAATAAACGTGAAGGAAGTTTATAAAGAGATGGAAAAAGCACACATATTTGGAGTTTTCGTGTCATCAGCTACTAATAATTCTTTTTTTTTTGTTGCTTTAGTTTTGTGTATGGAAATCCAGGTTTAGTGTGCGGTATATGATCGATCAGTTGATGACTATCCTTTAGAACACACATATATACTCTTGTTGTGTATAATGTCTTTTTATGTTCTCTATTATGTAACATGCATGTCTTTTGATAATTCTCATTAAAGTTACATCTTTGTTCGTTTTCCCTTTTGTAAGCCTATATATAGAGGCTCTATATGTTGAAATAAATGTGAGATCCTTCTCTTTGATCTCTCATTGCATTACTTCTCTTTTGATTTTTCATTGCACTTTGATCTTTCATTCGTATTCTTATCAAGGTATGTCTCTATCATTTTGTTCATAATAACAATATATCTATTATTTTTATTTTAAACACGTTATTATTACGATAGCAAAAATACTAATTTTTTAGAAATAACTCCCCTTCATCTCTTGTCCTTGTTGATATTATTCATGTTATAGATATATACAAATACATATACAAATACACATATTCATTTTACTTTTTTTAGTGAACTTGAACATATATATATATATATATATATATATTGGTTCATGTGAGAATGAACTTTGGTGAAAGAAATAAGAATGAATGTTATCTTTTAGATTGAGTGCATTGAACGGGTGTGATGGAATTAATCATTGATGAGTAGTCAAACTTTAAAAAGGGTAGGTATTAAATTGGTACGAACTAATTGCCCCATTTTCTACTTTTAGGGGCATAAAGGTAATCATGCATCAATTTCCTTATACACCGTACAAACATTAATAGGGAGCTCATTAAGACATTAATTTTTTATCTTTTAATTATTCTACTACATTATCTATTTTGAAATGATTTTTCGTACATAAGTTTGTCATTGACAAATAATATGCTATTCAAAACCACTCGTTGAGATTTATCTGATGCACCAATATTAAATATAAAGTTTTGATATTATATTTTCATATCTAAAAGTAAGAAAAGTAAAATTTATAAATACTATTTTTCATTATAATTTAACCATGTAAATAAATAATTTTAGACCGATATTTCAGGGTGTTACACACTATCTTAGTGCTACACTCATGTCCCAAATTAAGTCTCTGAATTTACTCAACATATTTTTAAGAATAATGAATTTTATAGTTGAAAATGCATCTTATTTAAGAATTGTTTTATATCTCACTTTTTGGATTTATTTTGAAGAGACGCACTTTGATATCTACATTTACACATATAATGTAAATGTACCGTAATGACCGATAAATGCACTATAATTTGACCATTAGATTTTATTTAATTTTTATTCTATTTATTTGTAAATTAGCGAAGAATGACTTATGAATGACTTTATATGTGATTAAAAAAACTGAGAATGCATTGTGCTCTAAACAAGTTTAATTTGAATTTGAAAAATAGTTTGCCTATGCAGGATTTGAACCCACACCTGTAGTACATACCGCTCTACTATTTGAGCTAATAGGCAATGATTTATTTATCAAATAGATTCTCTTTTTGCACTTGGTGCTATAAAATACAAGTATGCATTTTAATCTTTTAAAATTTGCATCATTCAATATGCATCATTGTTTGCAAAAAAACTTACTATCGAGAATATACAAATGCATTATATTTGTGTAAGGTGAATTTCATCATACTGTTCATGAAAATGCATAGTAACAAAATACAATATCTTTTATCTTGATTTTAAGTAAGCAATTTTCTTCTTATTTAAATGCATTATCATGATTCTAAGAATGCATTGTTTTCTTATTTTAATGCACTACCTTTTTCTAATTATACAAAATAATGATAACCCATCTAACCAAAGTTAATACATTTTATGATTTGTATGTTTAGAAAAAATTAGTACTAGAACTCAAGCTCAAATTTTTCTTCTAATGTGATGCATTAGGCACACAAGAAAATGTACGAAGTAAACTAAATTTTGTACATTCAGACACAAATATGCAGTAAGAGAGCTTTATTTTTGTATAGGCAAAAAATGCATTAACCTAGATAAAAATTAAATCAACCACGCTAAATTTGTGATAGGAGAAACCTGAAAGTGAAACTAACATAAAACTAAAACTAACTTCTCAATAATTAGACTCAAGAAGAACATACCTGTGTAGAGAGAATTTGAGCATTTTAGTTGATGAAAACTTAAAAAAATATAAAAATGCAGTGGGCCTAATTCCTTTTTATATAGGCCTAAAAATTGAAGGTGCTAGGGCATTTTCAAAATTCACAGTAACAAAAACATACCGTCAGTTTTCTTCTTGACCACACTGTGATTAACAATGCATTACTTTGAGTATCAGAATGCACTTAAGTAAATATTAGAATGCATAGAGTAACTAAAAAATTGATTCAACAATGGTAAGAGATTCATAAGAAAATGCACAGAACTTAAACATTAGAACACATAAAAGAGCAAACAAAAGACTTGTTCTTTAATTATATTCCATATATATTAAGATTGAATCATGGTTAGAATGCATTACCTTGTTTGAGAAATAAGAACATAGTCACAATCTATCAATAGTGATGCATATAGAGGTTGTTGTGAGTGTTTAGGAGATCTCTCGATTGCATTTGGGGTAGTAGCACCACATATTTTGTTCATTTGATTCTTAAAGGCATTTTATCAAACACCTTGTGTTCGGCCTGGTAACTTGAACCCAAACTGAGCAATCTTCCATCGCCCTTTCTACGACCATAGAGTAGACAAATAAAAAACAATCCTCGCAAGGAAAGGGATCCAATAAAAGAGAATTTGAGATCGTTGGGACTATTGTACCGATCTCAAACCTAGGAGAATTGTCGCACCACCTCAAGAAGGCCATAAAAAATTCAAAGGGGACATGGGTGATGAGTTAGATGATGAATTGATCAAGAAATTGAAAATAAATTGCGAGAAGATACCTCAATTTAGAACTCTGCCATGGATGAAAATAGAACGAATTACTTGGTCATGGATGAAGAAAAGGAAATCAGGAAAAGTGACAAAATTTTAGGGAGACAGAATAGGAAAGATACTATTAAGAACTAAAAGTCCTAAAATGCCATGTATGTAAACGAGATGAATCAACCAGATTGATCAAGATCTAATGGGTACAACGTTTTCTTATTTCTTTCGTAAGATCATATTCTCAACATAACCTATATATATATATATATATATATATATATATATATATATATACATACATACATACATACATATATATATATATATACATACATACATACATACATACATATATATATATATATATATATATATATATATATACTAGCATTTCTCCGCGCGATGCGCGGATTCTAATGCCCGATTTATTTTTAGTGTAATGTTATTTCTAGTGATGGTTATTATGATTTTTTAGTTTTATAGAGTTTGTGATGTTAATGGTCATAATTTAACTCTATGAGTTTATCAGGTATGAGATGATAAAGGTTATGGAGTAGTAATATTGCTTCGGGTCTTCAAGAGTGGAGAGGGGTCGGTACTCGGTATTGGAAATGACTTTCACTGAAGATCATATTAATATGTCAATGAAATTACATGGAGTTGTAAGATTGCTCACTTAAATTAACTTCTTACTTTATGGAGGTCATTATTAAGAGAAACCTTACCAGAAAGTCATGCCAAGAAGTCAGACCTCTTGGCCTTGTTAAACGCAGTTTCCATCCTAAAATATACCCAAAATACTCCCCAACTTTTTCTTTCTAAGAAATGCCAAACCAGAGACAAAAAAAGAAGGTTGTTACGAGTGAAATACTTGGTGTAACCTATCATACATAGAGAATTGGGAAAAATCGGAAAGAAAAGGGGAAGCCAAGCCGGCACAGATATAATAGCAAGAAGACCCCAATTATTAATCACCGGTGGGGGCGAAGAAGAATGGTAAAACCAATGTGCAAATAGTGAAACTTAGTGTACAAAAAACTATGAAGGAAAAGGTGCATGTTATATTTACCAAGGGCACCAAAATATCCCTCCCATTTTTTCTATGGATAAACTGATTCCTGAAGTCGCACAGCTCATAAGGACAACCTTTCATTTCTATCATTCTCAAAATTGAAAAGATGCCAAGTCAGAAAAGAATTCAATGATATCAAAATAAAAGATCTATAGCTTAAATTTTTTATATAAAATTTTATAAGGTTTAGAACTAAGTTTATCATGTACCTTTCTGCTCACGAAACGACACTTTTGAGAATCTGTAATAAAGTAGAACTACATTTATCAAGTAATAATGATTTCATACCAGTACTTCAATATGTTTTTAGTTATTCCATTCAAAATCATTTAATATAATATTTGAGAGTTAATGGTTTAGAATTTTGACAGGTGGACAAGTAATGTTCCACGTCCGCTTTTGCTTTTGGCTTCTTACTGTAAATCGCCCAAGCCTTTCCCAAATCAATTTCCGTTCCGTCTTCTTCGCGTCGCCATCTCCGTCGCCGCGCATGTCCTTCGCCAATAATCGATTGATTTTCGCATCTACACATCGCTATACGCAGATTCTTCAAAGATTCCATATAATCAGCATCAGAGAACCGCGATCAAAAGATATCTAGGTTTGTTTCCAAATTTCGAATTAGGTTTTTTTCCAAATTAGGTTTGTTCGACCCGTGCGTGGCAAGTGTTTCTAACTGATTCTTTTTTCAAACCAATATCATGGTTGTTTTGGCATATTCAAACCATTCCTTCAATTCAGCCGGGAAAGAAGCTAATCTTAATCAATTTGTTTCTATGGATCTTGGAACGAAGCCCATATCTACAGAGGCATTGGCACCTGCTGAGAACTGTGCCACCAATCGACCTCGGGAGGTCCAAATTAGGTTTGTTTCCAATTTAATTTCTAATTCGGTTTGTTTCCAAATTTCCAAATTCAGTTTGTTTCCAAATTTCGAATTTAATTTTTACTAAATTTAAATATTTCTTAATTTTTTCTTCCAAATCTTGGATTTCAGACCACCCATCGTTTTCCATACTCCGAAAATTTAGGAATCGTCTCAACTCCTAAAAAATTCAAATTCCATTTTTTCTGGGCTCTCGATTTCCCCAAATGTTTTTCGCTAAAATCTTCAATTATGAATCCTGGCTTGATTAGAATTGTATTTCGTGTAATTACATTGGGGGAATTGACAATTACTTTTATCTAAGAGTGATTACATTGGGATAATTGTCCAAAAAGTTCCAAAACTGAGGTCTATGGAGTATTAATTGGTATGAACCTTACTAGGATGATATGAACACTGTCAATGTTGTGTTTTGCTCAAACTGCTCTATGTCTGTTTCACTGACTGAAATAGTTATCTCAAAAGTGTTTTTCTTGATTTATTGTGTTCCTGTAGAAATAGAAGCTGGGCGATTTGATTCTTATGCTGAAACAGAAGCTGGGACATTACAAAGTATGGAAAAAGGTGTTATGTCACCCTAGAAGCCACCATTCTTTTTTCCTTTTTATATGAATTTAGTTCGTTCTCATTTTGATTAATGCAAGATTTTAAGTGGAATTCATGTGACTAATGGTTTCAAGGAGTTACCTGCAGTTCTCTTTTTTTAAGTATGTTCTCTTAGTTCTTTAAATTTTATTTTTTTCAAGGGGATTCGACTGGATCTTTCCATCTTTTTTTCATTTCAATGGCCTTTGGTTGGGTCCTCCCCTCTTCTCCCCTTTTTTTGTTAAAAAGTAAAATTAAATAAATCCGGAAATTGACTATCTAAATCAATGCTATGAATGTCACTTCCCATCCAAAAAAATCTTATTTCCTTTTTTTAACTCTCATGCATCATAGTGAGTAATTGAGTATGTATTTATCACTAGCTTTGGATTTGACACTAGCAGATTAGCATTTTTATAGGTTGAATGTAAACTTTACAGGTTTAATGCAAAGCTTTTCTGTCATACAAACTTTGACCATTTACACCTTCCTCTTTCATTTTTACAGGTTCAATATAAAGTTCCATTTAGCTTTCATCAGTTTGCATAATATGGATGTCATCCCAATTATATTTCATACTTTCATGGTATTGACTATGCCAGTGGTTTGTACTCAGAAAGGTCTGTTCCCTAATATGTGAGTATATCTTGATCTATTTCAAGTGTTGTTAGCTATTTTTATTATTTTACAATCAGAATTTATCACACACACTTTTTGCGAATTTACTATTAACATGACTCCTTTATACATCAATTGTCCTATGAACATTTGCCCGTTTTATGTTGTACTTGCCAATGGATTGTGCACCCTGTCTCTCCGTGCTAAGCTCCCAACAATGCAACCATAAGCTGTAATTCAGATCCAATACTTTGGGTAATTCAAAATGATGTTGGCATCGTTGGTGATGCCGATATCAATATATCTATTTCTTGATTATTTCTTTCAACTTTTACTTTCAAGTTAAATGATGAATGCTAGAATCTGGTGCATATATGCTTTGTTAACCATATTTTGATATCACTAAAATGCTTTATGTTTATCAATGAATGAATCGATGTCTTTGTGGACCACTATTTCCTAAAGAAGTTATATCTCAATTAATCAAATGCATAGGAAAATGGCAGGATCCACATCGAGGTTTGTTTGGGGCAAATGACACAATTCTAAAACAACTCTTTTTCAATGGAAACTTTAGAACAATTGATGGGCATTGTTCTAAATTCATCTTCAAAATAATCTTTTGTGTTTGTATGGATCCTTTCGTTTTGTTGTTTTTTACTTTTAGGTTTCTTAGTTTGCTTCCATTTTAATAGCTTCTTTCCATTTGATTTATTTTTTTTATTCTTGATAGTTTCTTCTCTTAAAAAGCAATTCCAACTTGGTTATGAAAGACTTAAGGAAAACACAAACCAATTTGAAATGGAGAATGCAGTTACTGAAAACACACTACACTTATGAATGAAAACCCACTTTTTTTGGTCTCTTTTGCTAGGCAGAACGTAGACTGTGCAGCTGGGAATTTTATGTTGGAAAAATTGCATTATGATTTGGTCTATCAATTAGAATGACTGACTGGGGACCTTACGGATTGGACTTAATGTGTTTTATGATGTAACATTCTGTCCATGCTCAATATTTGATAGGCATTGACACCATAGCCATCAATGGCAATCTTATGAGACCATCTTCTATTGTAAATCTTCAAGTGAGATTTCACAGAATAAGTCAATGTTCTTTTTTGGTGTAACGCCACTGTGTTTGATAGGCAGCTGTGTTTGAGTCTTTCTTGGAAAAATTGCATTATGATTTGGTCTATCTCTAAGAATGACTGACTGGGGACAATACAGATTGGATTTAATCCGTTTTATGATGTAACACTCTGTCCATGCTCAAAATTTGATAGGCATTGAGACCATAGCCATCAATGGCAGTCTTATGAGACCATCTTCTATTGTAAATCTTCAACTGAAGATTTCAAGAATCTTACTTGACTCATTACATGATACTCCAAAGGTGTTGACTGTCAAATATTGAGTATTTTAGCATAGAATATGGACCTCAGGAAATGGTTATAACTTAAAACATAAAAAGACTCACCTGTAATTGGCACACGTTTCTCAACCTTTGCAAAATCCATCTGCTTACTTTCATTCAGCTTTCTTTCATCTACACTCAAAGGGTCTTTCATGTCTTCATCATAGTACATTTTTGGTATTAATCAATAGTTTTGTGGTACTTCTGTGAACCTTCAGAATTGCACACACATTTTTTTATAACCAACTTTCTTGTGTTAGAACAATAAAAGTGTAGGTACTTTTGTGGTACTAAACCTGCCAGTTTTTTTGAATGATAAACAAGGACTGGAACTTTTTTAGAGATAAAAGTTCATAAACTTATCTCATTTTATAGAACAAAACTGCCTGTAACTAATATTTTTAAGGAAGCAACATTTATTCTTGATGAAAGTTAATTAACTTTTTTACTCTTTATCATGCAGAGTTTGATTGAAGCCTTTGAGGAATCTAAGGATGATCGCTTGGAACGGGATGTGGATGTTATCACTGATTCTACTCTCAATAAAAGAATGAAAGACATGGAACATTATCATGGAGGTGGGGATGAGTCGAGCAATAAGATGAAGGATATCAAAATAGAGAAAGACTAGAGACTAGATATTTCTTTTTACGGTTTCGACGGATCCGTCTCTTTATTTGATATGTGTTTATTTAATTTTTGCATTAGACAATTTATGATTTATAACTGTTGGGTTTGTTTATGCAGTAATTAAAACGGGTTAAAGGCTTCAAGACTTCCATTTTGGGCACTTATATCTATATACTGCATAATATACGGATTTTTTAATTCAATATATACTATTCTTCTTGCTTTATATTTTCGCTCTACTTCGGGAATTCAATAACTAAGGGAATTAAAATATTTGATACTTTTCTTTTATTTTCAATTGTGGATTATTTTTTCAAAATAAATAATTAAATAAATAAACCTATGGAAGTTTTTATCGACGAAAAACTTGGTTGTTTCGGATTCACTATAGTACAATCTTCCTAGTGGCTCTGCCCTCTTTTAATTCTCCCTATCGCGAGAATTACAGAGATGTCGTCGCCTTCCCAATTCCCAAGCAACGTTGCACCACTTCAGACACCACAACAGAGTATGGCCTCAAATCTCTAATTTCTTCTCTTTATTCTATTTCTTGAATTCTAATTTAAGCTTTCATTTTTACATTGTTTAAACCTGATTTTAGCAATTTTTTAACTCGAAATTGGTCTCCTACATGTCGATTACGAATAAGTATCAAATCCTATTGTCAAATTTTGCACCCTTACTTTCAAATTATATTTTAATTCAAACTGTTAGTTTGATTCTCTGATGGTGGAATTTAAGGAATGTGACTCAACAATTGTTTGGAAAAAGTCAATGATTTTTACCTGGATTCATTGAATTTCAAGAACATGGACTAAACATTGCCTATGATAATGGATTTTTCATGGATTTTTACCTAGCATTCTATCTATGGTACTCCGTAACATTCTATAGAAAAAATTTAATCGTTAACGACATATTGAGTGATTCCTTATGATAATGGATTTTTCATGGAGATATAACTAATTTCATTTATTCGAAATTGCATCATTAAGAACATATTGACCTAATTATAAGTCATTAATTTTTTTAAAAAATAAAAATTATATGAGTGATTCCTTAGGAGAATGGATTTCAATGGAGATATTACTAATTGATCTTTGAGAGTTGATGAATGAGAATGATGACATGTGGTTAGCTGTTTTTTTTCATAATGTGAATACTGTAAGAATATTGCCTGAAAATAGTACCGAGTATGAGATTTTAAGATTCATTTGATGGGTTAGCTGTTTTCTTCGTAATGTGAATGGAAGATTAAGATTTTAACCTAGATTTTATGCTTCAAATTAAAAATGATGATTCATGAGGACAAAAGTGATTTCATGTTATATTTAGATCTTTTAATCAGCCACATGGATTAATGAGATTCTAAATATAGAAAATATTCGTAGAAAAATCCGTTTCACATAATCTGTGTGCATCTGCTCATATTTAAATATTTGATACATTCTTTTCAATTTTTATATACATGAATTTTAGTTAGCATACTCTATTTATATCGTATCTAAAATTCTATATTATATTTAATTTTGTTTTTTAATTATTTACTTAAAACAAAAAATTAACAGAGTTAAAAATAACATGTGTTCGACCCCGTGCATTGCACGGGTTAAATACTAGTTTATGAGTTATATATAAAAGTCTGTGCAGGCTAAATTATTTAAATATGTAGGCTACATAAATCAGGTGGGGCTAAAATTCAAGATGAAAAAAGCAAGGGGAAACATCAGTGAATGAGAGAAATTGTTAGCTATCCATTCTTTATTCTTATCTCACGATAATGAAGGATTACATAATAATAATAATAATAATAATAATAATAATAATAATAATAATAATAATAATAATAATAATAATAATAATAATAATAATAATAATAATAATAATATCAAGTAATAATAATAATAATAACAATAACAACAACAGTTGAGTGGAGTCAAGGAGGGATGAGGGTGTTCAGACCTTACCCCTACCAAGAAAGCAGAGAGTTTCCCAAGAATTTAATCATTCATACACTCCTAGCCAGTAAAAAAATATCAAAATGATTACCATGAGGAGTAATTAATTCATTCACTTTTTTACCGACCTTACTAAGAGACGAGATAGAGTTGTCTGCAATACAATTTGGGATGAATTGCCAATGGTTTTGTTTTATAAGATATTGTTTATCTTATACCTTCAAGGATCTTTCCTAAAAGAAACAGTATGCTTCTATCTCCAATCCAAATAAGGTAAACTTCTGAACTGTAGATAGTTGTAACCACCATTATACCTTCCAAATGCTTTTATTTATTGACTTTTTCCTTAAGTAATAAACTAAGATTCACATATCTTATACTACCTCCGTCCCTAAATATTTGCCACATTTGTATTTCCAATGCAAAATATCAAACTTTTTCAATTCATTTTATTTACATATTGATATTGAAATAAAAAATAAAATTTACATATCAAAAAACTACATGAAAAGTTCTTCGAAATAAGAGGTGTCAAGAACATTTTATTTTATCAAATAACCATTGAAAACTTAGAAATAAACAAAAATTCCCGCAACTGCTGAAAAAGCAAATGTTGTGAATATTTTGGGACGGAGGAAGTATATCAATTTAAACTGAAATCTTTACTTTGGAACTCTTAAGCATTTTCCATGGCAAATTGAGGTATAGGATTATAAACACCATCCCAAAATTTAAGAACATAATTCACTACAAAATCAATGGTTTTCCCGTGATTACAAGCTTTCAATAAAATTCCTCAATCAGATTGCATTATTGTGGTATGGAAATATAAACACCATTGTTTTAGATCCAATACTTTTTTCCCGGTTACTCGGTAACTAAGACTATAACATTGTTTTCCTGCAGCCACACCGACCAAGAAGCAAAACAGAGTTGATGCATCTTTTTGTGACTAAGCTTGGTAGTATGCATTTTTTTTTGTAGTAGTATGCATTTCAATTTAATAGAAAGCAGGGTGTGGTTAAAGGAGACTATTTGAGTTTTTCCTCTTTCTTGTAAGGTAAAAAAAGGATATGTGTAAGAGCAAAAAGGAGAAACATGAATATTTATGATATTAAAACTGTACCACAATTTTCTTGCACCCATATAGACCAAGAAGCAAAACCGAATTATTGCAGCCTTTTGTGACTAAATTTGATAGTATGCATTTCAACGTCGTGGTTTAAAGGGTAGTGTTAAAAGAGACTATTGGAGTTTTTTTTCTCTTTCTTGTAAGGCAGAATAAGGAATATAAATCTGACGTGCATCTAACAATTAGGTGTATCAGATAAAAGAGAGAAGTTGCAATAAAGAACAAACAGACTCAATAAGCCTTAAAATATTCATGGGAAAAATACGAGCAGAAGTTTAGAATAATTTCAAAAGAAGAAACTTACATCATGAACTTGAAAATTGCTATCCATATTTCCTGGAAAACAGAAAAGAAAACACGATAAATTAGATACTATTCAAATCAAAATATCCTAAGTATAGATAAAAATAAAAAATCAAAACAAAACAATGTTTAATAAAATCTTTCATCAAAAGCATGACCGCAGAAGAATAGAAATAGGAATTTATATAGCCTCCAAGTATAATACTTAGAAATGAACAAAGCAGACGACAGAGATGAAAATAAGCTAAAATGGAACGGAAAAAACACATGACATAGGAATAACTCCAGTGAGCTCCACATTCCTCAATTTCTACAAAGCTTCTTGTTGCTTATAAAATAATGTCCACAAAATAGGGAAAACATGAAACACACATATCATGAAGCGTCCAAGAGAGAGAGAAAGAGAGGGAGAGAGAGAGAGAAGTGTAATTTTCTATGGCACCTCTTAATTGAAAAATCATCAGCAACATTATCCAAATTGGTTATAATATTATATTATTAAATATAAATAGAGCATTTCAAATATTTGAACTCATAATGACACAAATAATCAAATATCAAAAGGATGTTTTATTCTCATTTTAAAAACACATTCAAAACTTCAAAGCTAAATAGATAGCTACAAGGATCTACAATTCGTGCATTGATCCAGCTTTTGGCTTGTAAATCATGTTTTGCATCTTTTGCCACTATTTACAAATCATGTTTTGCATCTTTTGCCACTATTTACAAATGCATTGATTCAGCTTTTGGCTTATAAATGCATTAGTTCTTCTTACCACTATATTCTGAAAGTAGAAATCAGAATCAAAGAACCTTTCAATTTGGTAAAACTTAAAAAGAGATGAAAGAACTTACACAACCATTAAATTATGAAAATCTGGGTAAGGGACTGATGTCCTTTTATCTGGGCTTGAACTCCAACACCTTTCTGAACTGTGAAAAGCAACCTTGACGTGAAGATGAGGTGGACTTCCATAGTAGGCGAGAGACCTATACACATATAGTGAATTCTCTTTAGTATACGTAAAATCAGTGGAACAGAGTCATAGACACCACGAGGGAGATGAAATTTCATTCTAGAAGAAGCCGGCCTAACATTAGATACAAACATATAGAAAAATACAAAATGTTGAATAAACAGTAAAATAAGTCCTTGTTTTAGTGTTTTACATACCACGACACATCACTTGTGAATGAAGCACTAAAAAGCCTGACAACACTTTCAACAAGATGAAGAAGCTCTGGCAATGACATAACATTATTTGATGAACCTTGGTTAATAAACTGAAGCTGATTCAAATAGATCATGTCACTTAGCTATCTAAAGGTCATATTAATGCCAATGCCATTTGTTTGATCTAGAAATGACAACAAACCCAAAGGGCAATGCCACACTCAATGCCTCCGCTAAACAGATTAGGATTTTGACCTAAGATACAAAAGTCACAAAAATTTGATGGAGCTGTATAAAAAGAAAACACAACAGCAACATTTATTTCATCCCATCAGCGTCATTCTCCATTTATAATCCAAAAGCCATAGCAAAAAATTAAAAGTCCTTACTGATTGTTCAATCACAGCGGACACTACCCAGCCGAGGTCTGTCCATTCAGAATCATTTTCTTCCAATTCATCTCTTTTAGATACATTAGAGATGATGGTTTCTGCATGACATTAGACCTAAAAGAATTATGTCCTACACAAGACAAGAGAAACCAAATAAATTAAAAAGACATAATCCTATAGCCATTAGAGAACTCCTAAATATTGCACCTATATTTCAACTAAGAGCAAGCTGTATGTAGGAGCATCACCCCAGTACATGTTGTTGCCAAAACAAAACCTACTTCTCTGGAAAACACTACTTATAATCATCTTCAATTTTATATAATTCAATCTTCACCTACTTGCTTGGCAAAAAGTACATTTAAAACTCAAGCAATAATACTATTTACAACCCAGCTCAAACATTAAAAAAACAAAAGAAGTATATTATAAAGTTCATCCTCAATAAGTTCCTTACTCTGAAGTATCATTTCCTTAAAAACACATCACCAGAAAGCAGCATTTCATCCTCAATAAGGTATGTTTTCACCAGAAAGCAACATTCCATCCATAATAAGGTCTGTATTCCTAAAAAATAATAAGAAAAGATCAATTCATCCTCAACAAGTAGCATTAAAATTATGTTTAGCAAATATTTTACCCACAATATGCTCCACAATGAACAATTCATCCTCTAAATTCAAATCTGAAAAAGGAGAAGTACCATATTATATTAAATACAAGTGAACTACAAAACATATGTTGAATTTAAAAAACATAACAACCACTAAATCACACTAATGCATGAGCTCGAAAATTAAGCACAATTTAACAATAGTGAAGAATTTTAAAACGTAAGTAAAAGATACTCCGTAATAATTAAGAGATGAGTGGTCACCAGTATTGCTTGCAATTGAAATGCTGCTGCTCCACAGTTAGAAGGGTGCTTTTATTTTTATTTTAGGTCTTAGACAATGAATCAATCAATCAAAACTTTGTGATAAAAATAATGAAATAGAGAACCCTACTTTGAGATTTTGAAAGGACTTATCTTCATCATCACATCTCCAATATTGAAAAAATGGCAAAATAATGCAATAGAGGAATAGCTTGAACCATGAGAAGTGAAACAAAAGAAAGAAATTAAATACCAAAGATGTATCATGAACCACACCTAAAAAATGTGTCCAGTTTGGAAATTCCTTGATAAAATATCCTGCATCTAGAATTAATTGGCTAACAATACTTAAGCTATGAATCTAGAAATAGAAGACACAAAATTAGAAAAATCCTATGAATCGTACCATGAAATTTGCACATCTGATATAATTTCCTTGTTATTAAGATTGAGTGTGGTGGGTTGTTGCTGCTTCGGCGGGAAATACATGTTTCGCTATAAATTAGCAGTGAACAAAAGATAGTGTACAGATCCACGATTAAGGCCGTGATCCTAAAAGGGGTCAGAGAATCAGAAAAATTATTCGAAACGTACCTGCTTCTTACTTCGAAGTATGGTGGGTTGCTGATGCGTCGCCGGGAAATCTGCAAGCAGGAACGAAGACACAGCCGGGTAAATTAGAAGTCGGACTATATTTGGATGGAGATTTGCAGATGCTTGGACTACAAATAGACCAACTAACGTCGTAAGGGTAGTTTAAGAATAAGAAACCGGCGTACAACTAATTAAGCTATGCGTATCTTTTTTTTAACGGCAAAACTACATTTAATTTGAGGGTACCTAACCATGGTAGCCATTTATAAGATATGTAATATATATATATATATATGTATATATGTTGAATCTTAAACTCCTAAATGTTAGACAATGCGTGCAACTCTAGAGAGGGGGTGAATTGAGTTGTTGAGAACGTATACTGATTTTTCCCAGAATTCCACGGAGTAAAATAAACGAAAGTGCGGCAGAAATAAAAGAGAGAATGCAAAGAACACACCGATAAAATCTATACTGGTTCACCACCTTGTGGCTAGTCCAGTTTCCCGAGAGACTCTCTCGAAGCTATCACTACTTATCAAACTTCAACGGGTGCTTGACAAACTGTTTACAACACGAGAACTTGAATCCCACAAGCCTCGACACAACCGCTCGTAGATGTGCCCTCGACAATACTTCACACCCAAGACTTAAGTCACATAAGTCTTGTACAACAAGAAGAATAACCTAATTAACCTTCTTCAGCCTCACAATAATAGCTCTCACAAGAGTAGTAATGTGAAAAGATATAAGCTCTATGGATGACAAGAACACTCTATTGAAAACAAATAGTTTTCTCTCAAAATATATGGATTTGGGGAAGGTTTAAATGGAGGATTGGGAAATTTGCAGTGAATAGGACTAAAACATAAGTCATTTCTCAATGTAGGAGTTAAACTTTTTTATTTCCTAAATAGGACTTAATAATGACTAGTGAGAAGAATAATGTCTAAGTGATGTTGGACATTTAGTTGAATAAGGACTAATAGATAATGACCAAAAGTCCTACATTGGGAAATAAAAACATATGGTCCTATATTGAGAAAGTCATTATGTTTTAGTCCTATTTAGGTAAATTACTCTATGGGGTGTTTAGGGAGTGTTTCTTGTTGTTAAAAATGACCAAGGAAGTATGTTTAAATAGGCGTTGAAAGAATATATCCGTTGGTCCAAGAAAGGGAGTAGTGGTGAAAAATGCAGCAATTACTCTATTAATTTGGTACAAATAATCGATTAATTTGGTCTGAGTAAAAATTCTTCTTGATGAAAAAGTGATAATCGATTATTTCAAGATGGATTAATAGATTAATTGGTTCTGAGCGAAAATCCTTAAACAGACTAAAAAGATATTCGATTAATGCAAAGGGTGTTAATCGATTATTGTCTCAATAAAGCCCAAACATAAACATATCAAGCATATGTGCGAGGTGGAAGATGTTTTGGATTTTTGGGTTTGTTTTGGACAAGACAAACAGGATAAGGAGGCTCCCAAATCCAGCAAATTAATTCAAATTTAAATTTGAATTAAGAGATTGAATTTTTTGTGTAGAAAATGAGTCCCAAAAATATTTTGTGCCAAAAAATATAAAAAAATATTTGAATAAAATATTTTTGCTGACCAAAAATATTTTCTAATATTAAAAAAAAGTATTTTAATAAATGTTTGACACACCTTTTGTAACTGATTCAATGAAAGCATTTTTGAACAGTTGAAAAAGGAATTTTCAACTGACACCTAAATAACAAAAAATCAAAAAAAGTATTTCGGAGCATCCACTACATTTTTGTAGTCTTCAAACACCCTATCCATGGTGCATCTAAAAATGAAAATTAGGTCCCAACCACTTTTGGATCCTGAATGGTTAGGAACATAATAATAGTTTCTATAATATGCCAAATGCCGATGTTTAGTAAAACAAACCAAGGCTATGTGTCCAATCTTCCCACAATAGTGACAACAAATATTCTGATTAAACATTTTCCTTGGTTGTGCAATATTATTTCTAGGTTTACTATTCCCCTTAAAATTCCTAGATTGCACACCATTATTTCTAGGTGATCTATATTCATTCAAAGTGTTATTTCTAGGTTATCGATCTATTACTAACAATCCCGTTTTAAAAAAATTAATTTTCTTAATATTGTTTTTCCTAAAATAATCGTTCTCCTTTTTTAAATTATCTAATGTGCTCCTAAGTTGTTCTACTTCAATTTTTGAGGAATCACACAAGTAGAGCATGGAGAATTAGGCTTATTTAAGTTAGCCTCATCAATTGCCTTAAGTTTATTTTTAAGGTCTTCATTTTCATTTTTCAAAAATATGTTTTCCTTTTTCAAAATATGTAAGCTTAATTTGAGTTGATTTAGCAATTTTAGAGGTGATAAGTTGTTTTTGGGTTAGTTCTTTTTATTCTTTTTTAGGCATTTTTAATGTTCTTAGAATTTAATTTCTAGTCTTTTAGCTTAGTTTTATTTTAATTCTTAATTTTACAATCTTTTATTTTTCTTTTATAAACAATAGTTTTTAATCATTTTTATTAAATTTTATTATTTTTATTTTATTTTTCCTAACCCTAGTTATCAGATATCTTATTTTTTGAAAAAATATAGCAAAAAGCCAAATCAAAAAGTTTAAAAAGAAAAGATTGAAATTGAGTGGAGCCCAAACCCATCATTGTAAAAAAATAGCCCAACACTCCCCTCCTCCGACATCTTTTGATCTCACGCAAGGAAAAAAAATTGAGAAGAGCAGCTAGGGATGGCAACGGGTCGGGTTCGGGTCGGATAGTACTATACCCGAACCCGACCCGACTTTTAAAACCGAAACCCGAACCCGACCCGAAACCCGACATTCTAAGTCAAAAACCCGACCCGACTCGAACCCGGCATTTCAATCCAAAACCCGAACCCGACTTTTAACCAATAATCAATTCGACGTACCCCAATAATTTTAAAAGGATTAAATCTAATTTTTTTGTGTCTCTTTTTTGTGTCTCATTTTTTATTAAGAATTATAAAAATGATTAAAAAAACCATACTTGATTTAGTAGCACTTTGTCAAGAGATTATACGAAGTGCTAATTATATCCATAGATAGGCTTTTATGTTATTAAATATTCGGGTTTGAGTCGGGTCGGGTGCGGGTTCGGGTCGGGTCGGGTAAAATTATAAACCCACACCCGACCCGACCCGAAGTCGGGTTCGGGTAAAAAAATTCGGGTCGGGTTCGGATTATTTTATTCTCGGTTCGGGTTCAGATATTTTAGTGCTCGGTCGGGTCGGTTAAGCTCGGGTTCGGGTTGAATTGCCATCCCTCCCTAAGAGCAGCGGCTCTTCTTCTTCATCGGGCAACAGCGAAGTAACGGCCTCTCCTCCAATGTTCGCTGCAACTGGAAGTAATTCAACGGTAAATTACTCCTTCTTGCTATAAATTGGGAGGCCGCGACTCACAAACGAAGAGGGGAAGCAGAGGGGAAAACGAACAGGAACCAAGCAGCGGACGGCCGGCAGACGCGAACCGGCGGCGGCAAAAACTCCGGCAAGCGGTGGGCAGTCTCCTTCAAGCTCTATTTCTTTAATTTCATCATACTCTTCAACATTTGGTAACCCTTATTTATCAATTTTTATTTTTTCCCTCTAATTCTATGTAAAAGTTCATTTTTAATTTAATTTTACATTTTTTGTTTATTAGTTTGTTCCAAAAATTCCAAAATAATGGTCGGTTTTCTTTTATGGTTTTTTAATGTTTATATTAATCCCAATGAACGAGAATTGATTCAAATTAGTTTTTCTTCAATTATTGAGCAAGTCGTTGTTGAATTGGTTGAATTGTATAATTTGATTTCATAAGTAGGTTGGTATGTGGAATTCGGTTTTTGTTGAAGCTATTTTAGCTCCATAAGGTAGTTAAATGAACTCCGAATTCATACGTGATTCTTTGTTGTGTTTGTGTTTGTTGATTTTAAGGATTTTGGACTTCTTAGCCTCATAAGTTGGTTCATTTTTCTTAGAATTCGTTATTGAGTGATTGTTATGTTTTCGTATGTTTGTTTGTGTTTTCATAAAATTAAGGTTGTTTAAGCTCAAAAACAATTCTCAATTTATTGAAAATATATTGTGTTCATTTATGTGAATAGAAAAAAAGTCATTGGTTTGAGAAGTTCATGGAAATTTGTGAAATGTGATCATCATTAGGAGAAAAAGTTTGTTAAATGCATAAGGTATTGGCGGTTTGTGAATAGATTTTGTATGAGAGTTGAATGCATAATAGATTCTCTCGTTTATAAAATTTTCCTATTGTGAAAGTATGTTTTCATGCTTGAATAGAGAGTTGGGGTTCTAAGGTATATTTCAAAACGGACCTTTGAATTGCATGACTCCGGGCCGTGTGGAGAGTTGACAATCTTCCATATCGTGGTTAAGGAAATGAATCGACTCGGCCTTTGATTGATTTTTCCTATTTTTAAGTGCGTAAGTTACGTAATATATCGTCTACGTGCCTATTATACGTGTAATGTTCGATTTGTGTTTGTTCTCTTCTTCATTTTGTTTCGGGTTCTTGGCGGTGTTTCTTAGGTTACCTAAGTTCGAGGAGATGATAATCTTTAGAGCTTGTTTTCCCCCATTTTATCAAAAAATCGAAAAATAAGAAAACTAAAAAAACTAAAAAAATATTTACTTTTCATCCAACAACCCCCCCCCCTTTGTTATATTGTTTTAGTTTATAGCATAAGTTTTTTTTACTAAGTTATATTATAAGTTTTTGCTTATAAGTTATAAATATAAGTTCTTTATACTATTTTATTAGTATATTTTTAGTATGTGTTTAGTGTTTTACGTTATATTATAAGTTCTTTGTTTATATAAGTTACTTCCTCCGTCCTATAATGATCTTCCCAGAGCACTATTCCAACTTCACGGGAATTTATATTTATTTGTGTTTTTTCATGGCCTATATGATAAAATAGAATATTCTTGTCACCACTTGTTTTGTTGAACTTTTGGTGTAGTTTTTAAATATGTATATTTTATTTTTTATTTCTATACCAATATTTAAATAAAATAGATTGAAAAAACTTGGGATTTTTCTTCGTTTTGCGAACCGGGAAGATCATTATAGGACGGAGGGAGTATATTTATAAATTTTTATATTTATTTAGTTACAAGTTTTATATGTCTTGTCATATGTGTAGTAGTTAGTTTGTTTTGTTTAGTAACAATGTGTGTGCATGCTATTTTGATTTCAAAAGTACAAACTTTCTCCGTGGAATCGACCCTTACTTGCCCTAACTATAGTTTTATTTGATTATATATTGGGGGTTAGCTAAGGATAATTTATAAATTTTTAATTTGTTTTAGACCAGACGACGGGTCTTCAACAAATTTTGGCGTCGTTGCCAGAGAAAGTCTTGTATGAAATAATTTAGTATCTGATTGTATTCTTTGTTTTTTGTTTGTTAGTGAGCATGTCGTAGTACCTATTTTCTTGAGTTCTAATTCTTTTTTACATGCTCATATAATTGAGGTTATGCGTGCTAGAAGTTATCTAAAATCAGCCTTATTGAAACTCTTGAATGCTGAATTGTGCTCCAAATGCTGTTTTTATGAAATTTCAGGCCTATTTTTCACAAAAATTACATTTTGACACTATTTTCTACATTTTGTTTGGCTGATTTATGTATTTAATTGGTCATATATGTTGCATTTGTGCTGCTTTGTTCATTTTTTTTATGAGTAGAACATGTATGGTTTGATTAGGCAAGACTTGTGTGCTGATCTTGAAGCTTATAAAGCTAAATATGCAAGAAAAAAACAGATTTGTACTTGCTGATTTTTTTAGAAATCTGCACTACTCTTGCTATTTTTGTCCCTTAAGAGCACTGGGTATACATGTAACACCGACCGGCGTTAGGGACATTTTAACGCCCCGGCGGCGTTACCCGGGCGTGAGACGGCCTGCGTCAAAGGAATGACGCTTCGTCATTCTCTTCCCCTCCCCCCTTTAACGGCTATAATTGCCGTTGGACCCAAAAAAAAGATCCTTATAAATTCAAACGCCCCCTCCCAATCTCTCACACCTTCCTTCTTCACTCTTCTTCTTCCCATAATTTCGAAATCACCCCCTCTCTTTTCAACATTAATCCTTCCGGCTCCGGCTTCTTTCCCGATGATCTCGCGCCGAGCGACGCCGCGATGTGGTTTTACCAAGAGTGGGCGATCGACTGCCGATCTACGAGACGCAACAATCGGGGTACGTCGAGCGAGATTCGGTTCCGGAGACTCAACCGGAACCGACCGGGTCGAAAAAAAGTACACGCCGGAAAAGCCACAAAGCCAAAGCCACGATGACCGAGGCGACACGGTCAATCCAAAAGTGGACGCTGGAGGAGGAGTGCTTATTGGCGTCGGCTTGGGTTGACGTCTCCGAGCATCCTATCATTGGTAAAATATTTATTTTTTCTAATATATTTATGTTTTTATTTATATATATTATATTTAATCGTGTCTAAAAAAATTGTGTTATACTTTTTTAAAGGTTCGGAGCAAACGAAGGATGCGATGTGGGATCGTATCGAGGAGAAGTTCTTCACGGCGATGAACAAGGACGGCTCCTACCGAACCCGGGACCAACTCACTTCCAAATGGAGCCACATCAACCATAAAGTCCGAAAGTTTATCGGAGTTTACGAGGAATGCTCCCGGTCCCGGAGGAGCGGGACGAACGATGCCAATGTTCTCCGGCTTACCACGGCCCGGTATCAAGACGACGGGCACCAAGGCAATGTGCCCATCAATCTTTGGAGGATTTTGAGCCGTTCCCCGAAGTGGCAACAACTCAACAATCCCGACGGCGGATCGTTCCGGAAAAGATCCTCCGTCGACGAGACTATCGGTTCGACCGATCAAATCCCTCCCTTCAACGTTGCGGATTCCGATGACGAGGACCCCATTCCACGGCCGATCGGAAGAAAGAAGGCAAAATCCATTGCCTCGGGTTCGGGAGGGTCCGGCTCTGTTTCCGTTTCTTCCCGCGACGAAATCGGTCGGGAAATGGTTGAACAACTTCGGGCGTTCAATCTCCGAGAACAAGAGAAGTTGAAGCTAAAGGAGAAGGAGTTGAAGCTAAAGGAGCAGGATGCCGAGATGAAAGTCATGGAAACCGACCTTTCTACGTTGTCGGAGATTGGATGAATGCTCTACGAGCAAAGAATAAAAGAGATCAAGGAGAAATATAATTTTCCTTAGTTTTTTTATTATTGTATCTTTTTTTATTATTTTCGCTTTTTTTTAAATTAATGAATGTATTTTTTTTATTTAATGAATGTATTTTTTATTATTCATGTTTCAATATAATTAAATAATAAATTAATTACATTTTATTAATTTAATTTTAGAAGATGTATATTTAAAAATGTAAAAAATGAAGGTTTGAAGCCCCAGTTTGAAGCCCCGGGGATTCAAACCCATTTCCAGTGAATTTTGGGTGTAAGTTAAAGCTGACGTGGCAGAGAGAGAAAGTTTGAAGCCCCGGTTTGAAGCCCCGGGGCTTCAAACGTATTTCCAGTGCCCTAAGAGTGCTCCTTTGCTTCAAATATGAACTACTCCGTATAATTGATTTACCTTTCTTGGGGACAATATTTTGAAGCATGCCATGATGTTTTTATGTTGATTTTGATGTTTTAGGGGCTGAATTTCTGATAAAAATTGATTGAAAGTGCTGTTTTTTTAAAAAAATCTGCATTCTTTTCTTATGTGCAAAATAATAATTTTTTATGTTTCTAAGATGCTTATGTACTAAATTTTGAATCCTAATTGTTAAAACTTGTATGGGAACTAATGTGGGAGCATTTAGCATGGGTTTTCAATCTTGTCTTGATCCTTATATGTTCCTCGTTGCTCTTAAAATGAAAAAATGTAAAAAATCTGTTTCAAGAAGACTTTGAAGCCTATTTGTGCATCTTTAAATCTGATTTTTCCATTCTTAATTCAACATAAACTGCTATTCTTAGAGCTAAAGTCAATTCTTGATGCTTATCCTGTTTTTATTTTTTATTTTGGATGTTTTAAAGATACACACTTATCTTACTACTGTTTGCATTAAGTGAATATTTATTTGCTAGTAGTAAGCTGTGTCTAGCCAAAGACGTTAAATTGGATGGCTTATGGGAGGCAACCCACTTTCTTTTTAAGTTTTTTTCATCTTTCTTTAAAAAAAATTATTTTTACTTATAACTTCTAGTAATTGTTGTATTTTTTTCTCTTTTTCTCTTTTAGTTGTTGATTGAATTTTTTTCCTTTTTAATATTTTTTTAACATGACCCACTTATTTTTATATCATGTTTAATATTTCTTTAAGTTCCTTATGCAGTTATGCTTACTTTTAACTTTAACTTCTTTAACTTGTTGTTGTACTTTTTTTCCCTTTGTGGTTGTTAATTAGATTTTCTTTTTCCTTCTTTTAATAACCAACTTACTTTTCTTACTTTTTTTTCTGTATTGATGTAATATTACTTGTTCTAATTATAGGATTATTTTTTTTCTTTTCTCTTTCTTTTAGTTTATTTAAAGTGTAAAACAAAAAAAAACGATCTTGTTGAGCTTAATTGTTTTTTTACTTGTGCTTCTAACCATCTACTTTGAGAGCTTTTTGCAAAATTTGTTGAGTTTTAGGTGAAAGCATAGGTGTTTGGAGTAAAATTCTGCACAGTAAGGTGCAAAATCTGTTATGAAACCGCGATTCTTGGTGCCCGAGTATGGGTACTGTCAATTTCAATTTCCTTAAACCTTGGGTGTTTACATTTGATTTGATCATATATGGGCTGAAAATCTAAAAATTCTACACTCTTAAGGCTGATTTTTGGGTACTAATGGAAATTCTCTGCAATTCTCAATCTGATTTTCGGGCTATAAATTGAAAAATATGCACTTTGTAAGCTATTTTTTGAGTGCAAAATGAAAATTCTACATCTTTCACAGCTTTTATGTGCTTACTTAGGAAAAAAATCTACATATTTAAAATCTGATTTTTTGTTCTTCAACACTAAAAAATTTGGTCTTAGTCTTCTTTTTGCAGATTTTTAGGTCCAAGAAGAGCATGATAAAGGATGGAAGTGATGAATTGATGCCGCGTATACTTTTTAATTTGCATTCCTCACCCTTTCTTTTAGTTGCATTCCCCTTTCCCCTTCTCTTCTCGCTAAGTCTGTGCTTACTTAATATTGTCATATCATATAGATGCATTGAGGACTATGCATAATTTAAGTGTGAAGGAGGTTCTAGTGTTTATGTCGTTGTTTGGGGGAGTATACTTTTGGGCATTTTTTTTTCTCGATAAGTTTTGGGTCTAAATATTTTATTATTCTTAGTTGCATATCTCCTTTGTACTTTATTCTGAAAGATAACATATGTATACTTTATGAACTCGTCTTGAGTCTTATGCCCATTTTCTTGGTAAAATAACCTTAAAGTGTTTGAATTCTTCTAAGCATTCCTTACAATTTTGTTTTCTAGAACTGGTCATCCACATATTATCTAGATGCTATTTTAATAACCTTATGTGATCTTTAAAATTTGAAAAAAAAACAGTTTTAGGAGCCTTTTTATTTTGTAGAATATTGTGTGATTTTTATATTTTTAGGCTTATTTGATAAATTTTGCTACCGTTGCCATTGAGCCTTTCTGAACTATAAGATTTCTCTTAGGAAACTTTTTTGTGACAACTTTAGAGCATATTTTTTAGAACCCAAATAATCCATATTTTAGATCTCCATCCTTATAGGACTTTTAGCTCACTTTGTTTTGAAATTACTATGGGCATAAAGTCTTAAGAAGGGAGGTGTAAGGTGCATTTTGTTCTTCTTGATGATGATAAAAAGTTTAGTTTCTTTTTGGCCTTTTGAACGAGGACGCTCAAGTATTGGGGGTATTCGAGGTTCTCGTGTTTATGTCGTTGTTTCGGGGAGTATATTTTTGGGCAATTTTTTTTTCTCGATAAGTTTTGGGTCTAAATATTTTGTTATTCTTAGTTGCATATATCCTTATTTAGAGCACTAGTATCACACCCGTGCGTTGCACGGGTCATTTTATGTTACTAAATTCAAATCATTTATCAATGATAAAAATGAGATGCAATAAAATATAGAGATTATATTATTTTAAGGTAAAAAACATCATTGTTTTACAAATTTCGAAAGATTTCTTTATAAAATACACTATTGTAGAATATCTGAGAATAATTATAGTATATTTAATTGTAATAGGTTATTATAATTATAATTATAATAAGAAGGGTTAACTTTTATCGAAATTGGGTGTATAATTATTCTTACCATAATTATTTTTTTTCAAAATTGGGTGTATAATTGTATAACTTACCTTTTTGAATTATTTCCAATTTTCAAAAACTTACTCTTTGCATTTATATAAATTACCTATATTAAAAACTTACGCTTTGGATTTGTATAACTTACCTTTTTTAATACGATAATTATTATAACTATAATAATTATATTAACTTCTGATGGCTTACAGTTTTATATTACTCACGTTAACTATTATAAAAATAATTATATTAACTTCCGATGGTTAAAAATGATAGTTACTTATTCTTACCATAATTTCGGATATTTCCAATCAGTAGTCAAAATAACGTTGCTTAATTATTAGCATATAATTCATTGATTCCATATTTATTAAAAACTTACGCTCTGTAATTTTATAACTTACCTTTTTTTAATTATTTCCAATTTTAAATAAGTTAATTATTATATATATAATAATTATATTAACATCACGCTTACCATTTTATATTACTCACGTTAATTATTATAAAAATAATAGCTATTATTATATTTATAACTTTTTAAATAATTATAAATCCACAATTTTGGTCACTTACTATTTTAACATCATAATTATTTACTTACCTCTATAAATATAATAATTATAATAATTATTTCTACAATTTCGGCCACAAAAATTATTAACTTACCTTTTTTAATTAGTTCCAATTTTCAATACATTAATTATTATATTTATACTTTTTTTAATAATTATAACTTCACAATTTCGGCCACTTACCATTTTAACTTCACAATTATCAACTTACCTTTTGGCCATTTTATAATTATTATAAATATAATATTATAATAATTATTGCTACAATTTCGGCCACTACAATTATTAACTTAACTTTTTAATTATTTACAATTTTCAAAACGTTAATTATTATATTTATACCTTTTTTTAATAATTAAAACTTCACAATTTCGGCTACTTACCATTTTAACTTCACAATTATTAACTTACCTTTCGGCCATTTTATAACTATTATAAATATAATAAATATAATAATTATTACTATAATTTCAGCCACTGCAATTATTAACTTACCTTTCGGCAATTTTAACTTACCTTTATTTAATTATTATAAATATACTAATTATAATAATTATTACTATAATTTCAGCCGCTTATCATTTTAACTTCACAATTGCCATTTATAATTGTCATACTCTTTGGGCGGGAAAACCATATATTGACTACATGTCTTTTTAAATAAAGTATGGATTAATTACCAATTGTCGGTGTCATATTATTTGTTTTTTTTAAAAAATTAATTACCAATTATAAACGGTGTCATATTATGTATTCCTTTTTTAAAATGATTACGTGTTAAAACTGGTTATTACCGTGTGATAAAAAAAGGAAGAGTATTTATTATAGCTTTTAAACCATTTTTTTAGATTAATAATAATAATTATTTTTTTGATTAATAATATCACGTTTTTAAAAGTAATTTTTAAAAATCGGAGATAAAACTGTTCGTATTCAAAAGGAAATTGGTACTTACCTTTTTTAATTATTTCCAATTATCTTTTTTGTGAAATTGGGTGTATAATTGTATAACTTACCTTTTGTAATTATTTCCAATTGGGTGTATAAAAATGACAATTACGGTATTACAATACCATGTGATAAAAAAAGAAACAAATTCCGAACGCCCCTACAGAAAAAAAGAGGTTAAAATAACGTACAAAATTGTATAATTAGAACACTCCGTACGAATTGATAAATTTAGTGTGATAAAAAAAGGAATTGTATTTATAGCTTTTAAACCATTTTTTTAGATTAATTTTTTAATATTATTAATGTTATGTAATAATTATTTTTTAGATATATAATTTCACGTTTTTAAAGGCATTTTGTGTAAAAATTAATATTAATTTTAACTTCATAATAATTAATTTTCCATTTGTAAATGTAATAACACATGGAAAATTAAGCACATGCGCAAGTTTTTAATAATTATTATTATATTTTTGGCAACTTACCATTTTAAATGAACAATTGTCATTTGTTAATGTAATAAAAATTACCATTTTAAGTGAATAATTGCCATTTTTGTAAATGTAATAATGCATGGAGAATTAAGCACATCCGTAAGTTTTTAATATTTATTATTATATTATTTTCAAAAACTTGCCATTTTAAGTGAAAAATTGCCATTTGTTAATGTAATAACGCATGGGCGGGAAAAACAAAGATTGACTCCATGTGTTTTTAAATAAAGTATGAATTACCATTTTTAGTTGAGCATTCGTTACCTTTTTTATACACGGTTTTTATACCTTTTTTATACACGGTTATTTTAAATTACACGGTTATATGTTGATCACAATTACACTAATTTTATATTCACGGTAATATTAATTGAGTAATTACTCAATTACGGTAACTAAATTAAATTAAATTTCCATTCGTTACCTTTTTTACACACGTTTATATTAAATTAACATTCGTTACCATTTTAATTACACGGTTATATTAAATTACCATTTTTAGTTGAGCATTCGTTACCTTTTTTATATACGGTTTTTATACCTTTTTCAACTTTTTTTATACACGGTTATTTTAATGATCCATTAATTACCATTCAATAATTACCATATGAAGTGAAGAATTACCATATTCTATTTACCATGAAATGGGCGGGAAAAGAACAATGCAAATCCATGTCTTTTTAAATAATAGATAAATTATTTTTTAAAATTGACCCACAAACCTAATTTTTTTTCTTTCTTTGTACTTTATTCTGAAAGATAACATATGTATACTTTATGAACTCGCCTTGAGTCTTATGCCCATTTTCTTAGTAAAATAACCTTATGGCCTGTTTGGGAACATGAATTTGAATTTAAAATCCAGATTTAATACAAATACCTTTTTTGGCAACCTAAAGAATTTGAATTTGATCCAAATTCCTCTCATTAATAACCAACCCAATTACAAATTCATACCCAAACCCATGTCATTTGAATTCGTAGCTCAATTAAAATTAAGTCTCCACATTCACTCCTCTGTCGTCATTCGCCTCTTGCGATCCCTCTCTTCCATTGGCTCTCTCCAGTTTTAGTCCTTCATCTCTTTCGATCGAGATTGCGTCCATATCCGAGGGGCTAGGTCTGAGTTCTATCTACTTTTTCTCCGCCTCCGTCTTCCCTAGCTAAAAACTCCGATCCAGGTATATGTTTTGGATTTTAATTTTTCGTTTGATGTTCTGTAACATTGAATCTTCGTCCACCTGTGAGTATTGAGCATTTAGATAATTTCCTGTAGTTTTAGGGCAGAGATCTAGGGAGACCTCTGTTAGGTGGCTTCGGCGTTTGGAGAGGGAGGGTAAATACCATGTTGAAGCCTGGTCTTAAGGTCTCCTCTCATGTCCTCTTTTTTTTTTTTTTTTTTGACATGTGCATTTCCTAGTGTGTTACGAAGTATAATTTTGGTTTGGAAAGGCAAAGTTGGCATTATTATTTCTTCTCAAAAATGTAAAAAACCAATTTTATTTTATTTTAAATTAATTTTTTTGGGTTCACATACCACTGGATTTGTAATAACCATAGTTGGGTTTTAATGATGTATCATGCTTCAAGCACATATTTCCCTAGAAATCTGCTCCATTTGCCAACTTGCTTGGATGGTGTATCAAGGAAACCAAATCAAAGACAGATAAAGAAAAGCCCTATGATTCTATCCCTATAAATAAAAAGCGTATTTAGACATCTAACATGAGGGGTCAATGGAGGAGAGGCATAAAATAACTTATTTAGAACCTCACTATCATGGTGATTATTTAAAACCCATCATATTTGCAAGTCCGTTCTGCAATTATGTTATTTTAGCTTGTCCTTTATTTTAGCTTGTTCTGCAATTATGTTGTTTTATATAATTATTTATTGTGGTAGTATTTAATTATTTATTGTACCATGACATTCCCATGATTTTTTCTTAAACTAGATAATGTCTCATGATCAACATGTTTGTGAAACAAGAAAGCGTATTAGAGGTGACGATGATGATGAAATGGAACTCAATATTATAGTTACTGGCTTTATCATTGTACTAGTGGGAGCATGGTATAAAAAGTATAGGGTGAAGGAAGTACCTTGGAACGAACAAGAACGTGCTAGAAAAAGAGCATATTGGGTGGATTCATTAATGAATGGTAGAATTTGTAGAGATCAATTGCGTATGGATAAGAGGTGTTTTGACAAGTTGTGTCACATCTTACATTTCAAAGGAGGTCTTGTGACTACTAGACATGTCATGGTGAGAGAAGTGGTGGCATTCTTTCTTCATACACTTGCACATGACCTCAAAAATAGAACTATTGGAGCTGTGTTCACTCGCTCCGGTGAAACAGTGAGTCGTCATTTTCATATGGTGCTACACGCTGTAATGAAGATAGGCAAGTACTACATTAAGCAAGTTGACTCAACTGTAAGCTATGCTAGAGATAATAGATGGAAATGGTTTGAGGGAGCACTTGATGGGACACATATACAAATGACTGTCCCAATTAAAGACCGACCTAGATATCGAGACAGGAAAGGTGATATTAGCACTAATGTCTTAGCCACTTGTGATTGAGGGCCAATAAATGATTAATTCCCCGCCACGATTGATGCATGATAGCTGATTTACCGATAATGTAGCGCACGAAATTACATACATTGTATACGATAGAATTAGAATATAAATAGGTGTGAATCCTCCATTGTAACTCAAATTGAATCTAGCTAATGCAAGCATACGAGGATTCTATATTTCATCTATACTGTTGTTATTCTCGTTCAGTTCTTCGCTCTACCCTAGTAGTTTGGTTGAAATCCCATCAAGAATAAATACTTTGGAGTTTTTTTATAAAGAAAATCATCGTCGCCTAAAAATAATGATTTGGTTGTTAAACATGGCCATACTAATATGAAAATTGACTTTTGCCGAAATCTATACTTTCTAGTTTCTACGAAGAAATTGTTAGTTAAAATTATTTATGATCAACAAACGTGAGAGTTAAAAGGCATTTTTTCAATATAAAATATAAAACTCGTAATTTGAAATTTAAACAGAACAGGTAATTAATTAAAGAAGGATTAAGCTATGTGTACCCCAAGTCCCCAACACTTATACCCCAATTTGTATCCCACAAGTTTGCACCAACATTTTGTGTTGGTGCAAAACTAATTTTTGTTAACGCACCAACACTTTGTGTCCGTGTAAATTTTTTTTAACACACCAATACTTGTGTCGGTGTAAACCGTTAAAATATTTGTGCATAAGTGTGGTGTATAAATGGTGTACATTTTTTTGTGTAAATGAAGCATGGTCCATTAAAGAATGTCTTAAAGAAAACAATTCTCTATATCAAGGAGTACATGGGGAGTACGGAAGCGCTGTTCATTAAGGAGTTATTAATGTTTGCACGTACGAGTAGTCTTTTCGGAGTAACTCCCAATATATCTTATATTTCCTCCTTCCCTAAATTATTTATTTTTTATCTTATGCATTTTATTTGGAAAAAAATAAAAAATAAAATTCAATTTCAAGTTTTTGTAATTTATTGGTATCCAAATAAAATATAAAATTTATATATTTAAAAAATGTATTAAAATTTTAACAAAACAAGAAGTCACAAAAATATTTTATTTCATCAAATACTCAATGAAAACAGACATATAAACAAAAGATACCACGATTTTTGGATAGTGAAGTATATAAATCATTTCGAGACAGAGAGAGTAGAATATAAATATGGATGTATGATGTATATCCGAAATCTAAATAAATATTTACTTTTGAGAATATTCATTTTCGAATAATTGAATACTCATTTTAAGTAACTAGATACTCATTTTCAAGTATATAATTGAATTTTAGAAAAATGAGTGTTTAGTTACTCGAAAATGAACATTTAATTATTCGTAAATTAGTACCTACCGTGAATGTACGAGAAACACCGTCCAACCGATTATACGGCATGTACTGTGTCTCACTTATTAATCTGATTTCTCAATAACTTTTCTTTATTAGTGCTTTTTTGTTGATAATTTAATAAAATAACCATTTTTGTCACATCTTAGTTCATAAAATTTCTATTGCATTTTTAAAATATGTAATTTGTACTTTATATTTTAATACTTATACATAAATAAAATAATTTAAAAAATTACACATTACGAACTAATTAATTAATGAACTGATTAAAGTATTATATTAATAAAAAGAAGAAGACTAAAGTATGCATAAAATATTGAAAATATACCAAAATAAGAGTTTCATATTTTTATTCATGAAATAAAAGTTAAAATATATTCATAATGTCAATTATGACCATGTACATTACCAAAAAATATTATAAAATGTTCATATGCAGTGTCACATTATCGCAGTGCAAACTCTTATTTTAAATATTAAAACATAAAACTTCTATTTTGACACTTTCTTTATGTTTTTACTCTTATTTAAAGTTATCTATAGATAAAGGGAGAAAGACAAAAGTAGAACTAAAACATTGAATATATGCCAAAATAGGACTTACATGTTTTTATTCCCAAAATAGGATTTACATTTCAACCATGGTCATGTACTTTACCAAAAAGGTATAGTAATGTGCACATGTACAATGTCACATTACCACAGTGCAAAGTTCTATTTCGGGAAAAAAATATGAAAATCCTATTTTAATATTTTTTAGTATGTCTTATTACTATTTAGGGTGACTTTTAATAAATAAATGATGTGGGAGCCAACCCTCATCTCTCTCCTCTATTTCTTCTCGTTCCTCACCACCTCCTTTTCCCCTTCGTTTTCAGAATTCCATAATCAGCTGCCACTTTCTTTTTCCTCATTTTCTCAACATAATAATAATAGCTGGATCATTTCTTCTCTTACGCAAAGCCAGCATAAAAAAACTTGATTTCCCTAATTCCCTTTCTCTCTAGTTGGATTTCTCTTTTATTTTCTTAGATTTTTGAGCTGGTTTTTTTTGTCATTGATTTCACGTGTTTGTATTCATACCGGATCCATTCTGGGTTTGGTTTTTTTTGCCTTTATAGGGTGTCATTTCACTCGTTTGCATCATTCTTTTTTAATTTGTTTTGTAAAATTGGTTTTTTTTCATGGGGAGTTTGGATTTCTGGGATTAAGGTGATTAATCTGAGTTGGGGTCTGATTCACTCGATCCAAACTAAAGAGACAGTAGCCTGCTTTCTTCAGGCAATATTAGGTGATTGTCTTTCAAGCACTCTGTAATTGATAATCTATGTCATTAATAATCAATAATTATTTAATAAGCTTATTTATTGCATCTACTAGTTTCCGAGATTCATCTAAGCTTGGAGTTTTTGATCGTATTACTTTTTTGGGCAGGCTTTGGCTTCATTGTGATAGATATGGGGCAAATAATCATCTGAATTATAACTTGAATCTTTTGTTCTTAAATCTATATATACCTTGAGGCAATTTCACCTCTTTTAATATCACGTTTTTCATTTACTCAAAAAAAAAATTTTGCATTTTTAATGCCCCTGCTCTTATAGGGTGGCATGTATTTGGTTAATTTGAGCACTCTCATGGATTTTTTTCAGCCGAAATATGCTGTTATTTTTGTTTTCTGCTTAGGATCGATTCGGGAAGGAGGAAAATGACTTCTGGAAAATAGGAATCAATTCAAAATGATTTTTGAAGTCAACGGAATGAGCCGTTTTCCTTTTTTAATTTTCGGCAGAAGACATTTTCCATCGTTCTCCAACTTCTTAAATCGAAACTCACTACTTTTTATCATGTTCTAACAAAAAAAACTAGTTTTATTTTTTCAGTTTTCAAACTTTCAACCAAACACAACAAAATGAATTTATTTTTCAAAACTCGTTTTTGCTCTAATGGTGCTTCTTTTCTTTATGTGTGCTTGTACACTGATGATCAGACTTTTTATCTTGACTTGTGTCTAAATGGTCTAGTTCATAGATTCAAACATGAAGACCGATAGTGGGGAGATGATGACTTTGACTTCACAAGGCAGCATAATTGAGGATGCTTTTAGTGGTGGTGGTGGTGGAATGCTGAAGAAAGGTCCTTGGACAACGGCGGAGGATGCAATATTAGTGGATTATGTGACAAAACATGGAGAGGGAAACTGGAATGCTGTGCAGAAGCATTCGGGGCTTGCTCGCTGTGGAAAAAGCTGTCGCTTGCGGTGGGCAAATCACTTGAGGCCGGATCTGAAGAAAGGATCATTTACTCTAGAGGAGGAGAACCGCATTATACACCTCCATTCTAAAATGGGAAACAAATGGGCACGAATGGCTGCTGAGGTGCGTGTGATGAGGAAAATAGAGAAGAAAATACTAGGGAAGTAAGATGAGGAAAATAGAGAAGAAAATTTGGGAGAAAATAAAATATAAGCTCAAACATAAAAAGGTTACGTTAGATATTTATATGTTCAAACTCATTTTATTATAGTAGGTGATTGAAAATTTTAATAAGCAAAACTTGAGCTTTATATCCAAGTTTCATGAAAAGATTTCTGAAGAAAGAATTTCAAGGGAACAGAATAATCCTTCAGAAATCTGTGTGTTTCATAACTTTCATAGCAGTATTCCTTGCCGCTCATTCCACAGCAACTTATGTTAATGCTCTAAATCAATATAGTCTTGTTTGTTGCTATCTAAATCAGAAGAGGTTTTTTTACTACAGTATCTCATAGTTCTTTGTGCATTGCTTTACCACCACCAAGTAATTGTATTTTTACTTGCATTCCTTTGCGATGTTTTCTTCCAGTTGCCTGGGCGCACAGATAATGAGATAAAGAACTATTGGAACACCAGGCTCAAGAGAAGACAACGTGCCGGCTTGCCAGTCTACCCTCCTGACATCTGTTTGAAATCATTCAATGAGAGCAAACAAAGCAAAGATTTCGGCACCTTCTCACAACATCCCAATCTTTCGCAGAACAACAGTTTTGAGATCCCAACTGTGGAATTCAAGAGTTTTGAATTGAATCCGATGCTTTATTCACAAGAACTTCTTGATGATACTCAAGGAGGTCTCATTTCTTCTTCGTCATCGTATGGAAACAGCAGGCCACTCCTTTCAGTTATTCACCCTTCAAAACGTATACGTGGGTCACAATCTTTGTTCCCTGGTTTAAGTGCCAATGACAGTGCTATTCCATATCAGAACGAAAATGATTTTGTACAGATGGCACAATCCTGCTTTGGGTTATCTTATGCATATCAGAATCGAAATCTGGATCGGACTCATGGCAGCCATGCCTTATTAAATGGCACCACCTCCTCTCCTTCGGACCCCACATGGGGAAAGAAGATAGAGCTCCCTTCATTCCAAAGTCAGATGGACAGGTGGGGATCTCCTTCCTCCCCTCCTCCTTCTATGCAATCTGTTGACACTTTGATTCATTCCCCTCCAAGAACCACCGAGCAGCAACGTAATAATACTACTGGATCAGGTGGCAGTAACAGCGGCCTGCTTGATGCCGTTCTTTATGAGTCACATACGAAGTGCAATTTGCCCTCCGGTGGTGGTTTCTTGATGATGTCTGGTGACATGGGGGATGATCTTCATGACCCAGACATGGAAACATGTGGTGACCCGATTTCTCCTCTGGGCCATTCTGCTGCTTCGGTGTTCAGTGGAAGAAGTTCATTAGATGAACCCCACTCAGTTGAAATGATGTCAGGTGAGGATTTTTGAGAACCCCTTTTTTGAGCAGTCATGTTTTTCATCAATCACAGCCTTACCTCCGAAACATGATAGAATATAATAACATTACTAGAAATTGTGCGAGACTAAGTTTATTAAAATTTGTAATGCATTTTTTTAAAAAATAAAAAGTTCATTTTTTTGTTTTTAAAAATAGATTTTTGGGACCAATTTCAAGAGTAATTTAGTTAAAAAATACACTCATCAACACATTCTATCTTGTTTTCAGAAAAATACACTCAATTCCTACTAACATCAAGTCAATGCTCTGGACACAGATTGTTTCAGTGCAAAAGATGTATTTGAGACGGGTATGCTCGAAGACCTGAGCAGGAACTGCAAGAATATGGGAGCCTTGGCAACTTCTACGCGTCAAGGGTGTGTTTGGGACGCCATGTCCACTTTCTGATAAATTTCTTGGATTTCAATAGTTTCAAAGCCGTTTCTCGGGGAAAGCACAGGTTTTGATGTATTGATCAAACCCATCTCACAGGTTCTCTCCCACGAAATTTTACCTTTTTTTATACTGTATGAATACACTTGATAGCACACAGCCTTTTGCATCACATTTGTAGCTTGTATTTTAAATTTTGAAACAATTTCAGTTCATGTTTGAGACAGCAGAGCTGGTCACCATTTGCCATTCCTGCCACTGAATCATAAACTTGATACAGCCATATCCAGAATAATAATGTGCTCATTTATGTTTTGTTTCCTCAGATTTATACGCCTGGGTTTTGTGCTTTTACTGTCCTTAGAGCCCCCTGAGATTTATATGCTTGAATGGTCTGATTGACTTAAAGTATCTCAAAATGCATTTATAATGTGTGTTTTTTTCCCTTTTTTATTATTAAAACCAGCTTCTACAGATAGAATTAGCATAATTTCTGACAAGATTAGCACGACGTATACATTTATAATGTTTCTCATTTATGGGTTATTGGGCCCGATGGGATTAGTCTTACGGAGTATATAATAAGAGCATTGATAATGGTGAGACAAAAATTAAATGCCACACATAGAAATGGTAAATTTCAACTAATAAAAAACTGTCTAGTCAGCAAGCAATACGTGAGTGGAGTGACAAACTCTACGGTGGCAAGTAATTGTTTTATCACTTTTTACATTTTTTGATGTGTTTTAATTATTAAAAATTCAATTTATTTATCATAAATATAATTCTACTTTCTTACAAAAAATGCTTATTTTTGATCAAAAAAAATAGAAAAAAGGGATATGGAATGCCCCGTTCAAGACATGGAGTACATGGCAAAATGAAGATGACTTGCAAGGCAAAAAGAAAAAAGTGCGGCTTTGGGTTGAGGTGGCGTGGCATGGCAGCCAAACCCCTTGCCACCGCTGCTGCTCTAAAAGACAAACGCATATCTAAAAAGTAATTGATGTTTGTTTTTCGATCGAATGAGGAGCATTCCGCGTTCTGCCTATTCTGATTTTCTCTAAGGTTGTGTTCCATTCGGCTAATCTGATCTGATTTTTTGAAGTTCTGATCTAATCCAATTTAATATAATTGAATTTTATCTGATTGGATTTGATCTAATTAGATGTGATTAGATCTAATCTGATCAGATCTGATCTGATTGGATCAAATATAAATATTATTTGAATTAAGATTAAAATTATTATTATAATAGTTATAATAATAGTCATAATAATAATAATAGAAATCTTAATAATAGTAATAATAATAATGTTTTTAATATTAATAAGAATAGTAATAATAATAATAATAACTACAATAATAATAATAGTAATAATAGAAATAATAATAATAGTAGTAGTAATAATAATAAGAAGAACAATAATAATATTAGTATTAGTAATCATAATAATAATAGTAATAATTATAATAACAATAGTAATAATAATTATAGTCATAATAGTAATAGTAATAGTAATAGTAATAGTTAAATAATAATAATAGTAATAATTATAATTATAATAATAGTAACAATAATAGTAATAGTAATAATAAAAATAAAAATAAAAATAAAAATAATAGAAATAATAATTGAATATTATTACCAAACACTGGGTCTGAATTTCTCAATTAATATTATCATAACTATCATTACCAAACACTGGCCACAAATTACTCCTCCTACCGTAACTATCCTCATATTCAACTCACTTTCCTTAATTACATCTACCATTCAATCATTACCATAATTACCTCCACCCATCACTCCCTACCATAATTGCTCCCACCGTTCACTCTCTTATCATATTTATCTTCATAACTACTCCATCATCTCTCAATATAAAAGAAACACTTCACCTTCTGTATGGGTGGGCCAAGCTCATAAAACTAGTATACGTTCTCACATTACTTAGAAAATACTCCTTGTATTATTTATTCTTTATAGAGCTAAACGCTCCATCAATGGCTGTAATGCCAAGATCATATGTACTACTCTCGGTATTAATAAAATCTCCCTGTTGGCATGGTCCGCTGGAAAAGACCCGTGATTTTCTCTCGATTTGAGTTTCCACGTCAAAAATAGCTTGTTTATATTTTTGGTAATTGTTAGGCTCGTTATCATTTTTATTGCAGTAAAAATGATAAAACCAGTCGAAACAGTTAACACCATCATTTGGCGCCGCCCGTGGGACCGATTAAGTTCAGCCATACAAAGATCGATGATCGAGTTGTGCAAAGTCCATGAAGATCCCACTACAAACTTGGGAAGTAATTCTCAAAAAAAGTGATCTTTTGGAATATTTCTCCTAAAATATCCGAGAAGCCTAGAGAGAATTTTGAATTTTAAAGAATAGTCAACCACAAAAGTGACCCATTTACCAAAAATAATCTCTCTCTCTCTCTCAAAAGGAAAGGTCAAAATCAAGAACTGAAATCCAGCAAATGGAAGTTACCTCTGTTGAAAGAAATTTGCCTAGGCGGCTTAGATTTGTCGCCACCTTCGGCGATAAAATCTCCCCCCCCCCCCGCCTCTATTGGAAGAAATATAAACTTTCCTGGTCATATCGAATGATGTATACCAGATGATTGGATGCCCAATCAAAAAAGAAATGATGGTTGGAAGCCTGGTCCAAAGAATTTCAAGACTAGACGTCGTCATACCTAGTCATCACGTATGGATTAGTGATGCACTAAACATACAGACTGGACGATATGGAAGATGCACTAGACTGAGAGCTCTAGTGATCACCTTTTCAGGGAAAGACTTAACCACACGTCGGAGTGGAGTGGAAGACCTAACCACACGATCGGAGTGGAGCTGTAATAAAAGATGCCTAAAAAATAGATAAAATAAAAGCTTAAATCTGGAAAAGGGGCCCTGGATTATCGGGGACACCCGATTCATTTAAGCTCGAAAGAGGGCCATATAGAAAAAAGAGAATCGAGCTATTATTGGGGACGCCCGATTCATTTAAGCTCTCTAAATGAGGCATTTTAGATTCGTCTCCGAGAGACATATAAGAGATAATTACTTACATCGGTTACTGAGAGTAACACCGATTTAACAGTTGATTCAATTCGTATCGATCCGTGGGGATACTAATTACATTATGCATTAATACGCGTTAACAATGGTACCGTTGACAAAATGAATGACTACGAATCTAATTCGGTCCATATTAACATCATTATTATTGAGATGACTTATTTGATTTCTTCTAATATTGAGCTATTTGATCAATGTATTTATTATACCTGAGTACGATTCAATTGGCCAGACAAGTACATATTACATTTTTTTGTAGGGCATTCACTAATGGGCTAGGATCGGCTTTATGACTAAAAGAACTTTGGAGGCTTGGGTTTTAAGGACCTTCGGGCTTTTAATCTTGTTATGCTTGGTAAGCAGGGTTGACATTTTCTCAAGAGACCTCATTCTTTGGTTGCTCGAGTATACAAAGCTAGGTATTTTCCTAAGACTTTCTTTATTGATACCACAGTTGGTAATTTCAATTACTATGGTTGAAGGAGTATTATGGCATCTCATGGGTTGATCTGTAGGGGATTAGACGTAGAATCTGTAATGGAGGATATACTCTTTTGTGGGGTCACACGTGGTTACCCGAGGAAGGTAACTCTATATATCTCTCACCTATGCCTGACCAGTTTCAAGGTGTCACTGTTGCAATAACTTTATTGACCCCTCTTCTCATAATTGGGATGTCTCCCTATTAGATGAAATCTTTTTGTGGAGGATAATAATCGTATTTTACGTATCCCAATTAGCCTAGAGTTTGAGGATTTTTGTGTCTGGCATAGAGACCTCAAACGTTGTTGCTCAGTTAAAAGTGGCTACAAGATTATTGTTGGTAAGTGAACTGTATATGAACATAAAGAAAGTATCAAATTATAAAACTTCATATTTTTATTTTTTCTCAAAAGATGAGTTTGCACTGTGATAATGCAACACTGTATATGAAAATTTTATAATATTTTTTGGTATTGTACACCGGTATGATTAGTAATAAAATCATGGAATTCCAATTTTGTTTTTTCTAAGTTATACTTCTATTTATGGTGATTTTTTAATAAGCAATACGCTGAAAAATATTTCTATATTTTAACTTGTATTTTGAGAATAAAAACATGAAAATCATATTTTAGATTTTCTATGTTTAATTTTTACTTTAATCTTTTTTTCTTAGTTATTTTGTTAAAACCAAATGAGATTCAATAAGATAAAAAACTTTAAATATAGTAACTTTTTTTGGCCACTCTTAACATCTCAATGAGTAATGCTAGGGGTACACCATTTTGGTGTACCCCAAATGTACACCACCCTTTTTTCATCTACACATTTTTATTTGATTTTTATTTACTTATTTTTTTTGAATTTTTTTGCCTTTTTTAATGGACAAGGAGGGAGTGGGGATATTTGGGGTACACCACCCTTATCATTTCCTCAATTGATGCAGCGAGCAGCAGATAAAGGCAACATCAAGTCCACCGCCGAGTGCTGGTCTCTTACAGAATTGGGACACGAGTAATAACCGCGCCGCTCAGAATTGGAACATGAGTGATAGGCCGGTTTCTTCTGATGAGGCACTTCAGATTGTGCTCAGTGCAGCTCGTCGTCTACCACCGGTTACGGTGTCGCTCCACCAGGCGTTAGGAAGAATACTGGCTGAAGATATCACTGCCCCTGATCCTCTTCCTCCCTATCCCGCCTCTATCAAGGTCCATTTCCACTCCCACACGCGCACGCCATTCAATATATGTAAGCTAACGAGAGTTTCCTTCTGTTTGATTGCTAAATGATGTTAGAATTTAGTAATTATGCTCCCACGAACTTGTTTGTGGGATTGGGTCTCAACACCTAGGGTTCTCCATGTCTGCAAAAGTTAAACATCAATGGGTTTTTTGTGGAAGCGAGGTCACACAGATGCCCAATTTTAGCCACTCTGAGTTGAATTCACATGCAGTCAACACAAAATTTAGAGAGCTTTTGGATAACCGTCACGGAATTGAAATTCGATGTTGTTGCATCTAAGTATACTCTTTGTCCTGTTTGTCGTGTTCGGTTGACCACTTAATTACAAACTTCAAGTGTAATTGGTGTCAACGAGAGCTATATTGATCCATGTGTTCACATTGTTGATTTTTCATACTTGTAGCTCATTAAGTTTGCTGCGAATTTTTTCATTATAATATTGTAATGTGGGCCTGTTCATTTCCAGGATGGATATGCTGTTGTTGCCTCGGATGGCCCAGGTGACTATCCTGTAATAACCGAGTCAAGAGCAGGAAATGATGGGCTTGGTGTGGTTGTGACCCCTGGAACTGTTGCATATATTACAACTGGAGGTGAGCTAGTGGTTTAGGCGTGTGTATATGCATTTCATTAGACTTGTGGGTACACCGTACACATACTGTCTGCGTCTCTGCTCTGCACATTGTACAGGTTCTTATAGAACAAACAAAGCCATGTAGGTTCACAGAAGTTTCTCTTGACATCACACATTCCACTTACAAATTCTCATTCTATTTGTGAATAAAAAGTCTCTTGTAGTTAAGATGAGGTTTGGTACTATGTCGTATTGAAATTTGTTACATTTAAATGCACGAGGAAAGTTAACCCCCCCTGTCCAAGCCTACTTTTCTTTTTCATTGTTTTAATAATGTGAACTTTCTTATTTTAGAATGCAAAATCTTACACAATGGGAATTCATCCTCACTATATTTTCGTTCTTTAAATGATTTGACTATGAGGCCCTTATTTGAGAGAATTTTGGATATGGCATCATTTCTTGTTTATTTGCATAACAAGTCGATCTGAAAGAAAGGTTCTCTTATCGGTGGCATGATCTTGTTTGATTTTTAGGTAAGTTTTTAATGTTTTTTAAAGTTTCCTGCATATAAATAATACTTCCTTTATTCCGCAATGAAGTTTTCGGCTTTACGCACTTTGACTCCACCAAGTTTACGGAAATTATTGAAAAGTGAAAGTGTGGTTGGAATTTGGTTAGAAGAGAAAGAAATGTTATGAACAACATGTATTTCTTTCCTAAAAGAGAAATGGGAGAAGGGTGAAGTTTATTTATGGACAGATCCGAGGAAGTATTTGACACGTTGGCAAGGTTTGTGTCACTGTTGGCTCTGAATCTGAAGTTACTTTTTTTTTCTCCAGGACCTGTACCTGATGGTGCTGATGCTGTTGTACAAGTAGAGGATACTAAATTGTTGTTAGACAGTTCAAACAAATCAAGGCAAGTACGGATATTGAAGGGAACTAGCCCGGGAGTTGATATTCGCCCAATGGTATGGCTTAATACTTTACACGACTCACATTACTCTGCAAAATTATGATACCATAGTGTAGATTTTGAACTACTCCGTATATGATAGAGGTGGAGTTAAGAACGGGAATGAATATAATAGTGGTGCAAAATGAGGAATGTAATAGTAGTGCAAACAAGACGCTGAGTTGTAGAATGATGACTTCTGAAGGTGACATCAGCATATATGAAATAGTGGTGCAAAAGAGATGCTGGGTAGTAGAATGAGGACTTCTGAAGGTGACATTGGCATTATGAAATCTTGCCTTAGTGTCCTAGAATAACAATGATATCCATTTTGAAGTTTTAAATTCCGGAGGAAGATAGACTTCCTTGCGGACATTATTGGACATTCTTGCGGTGTGTCACGAACAAAACAATTACACCCAAATACAAGTGGTGGTATATGGAACAACTTGCTTGTAGGAATATGAACATAATATGCAACATTGCTATGAAGAGTGGATGAATACATGCAATTAATGAAATGACATGCAGTGAAAATGACATCAACCCAATATTGAGTCGCCCAGGCGCTGTATGTGAATGGAATAAGAGAGTATGAGCGATATCCACTAGATGACGGCTATTGTGCTCCGCAACCCCAATTTGTTGTGGTGCTTGGATGCAAGAAGTTGCTGCGTTGAAAGGAAGAAGGCCAGTTGTAGCTTTTTTTTTGTTTTAGTTGACTTATATCTTTCTTTTGCACCTATGTGTTGGACACTTGGACTGGAATTTTCATTTCGAGATTGGTAGAAGCCATATAAACCTAGACTTCACAAGAGCTCACATGACATTGTAGTAAAAAATTTAGACGAATGCATATTTATATGTAATTTTGTATGTGCTAGAAGAATAAAAAAGTTCAAAGTTGAGGTCTTTGAGGATTTTTTGGTAATAAAGTCACATAAAAATATCACTCTGTGTCCCTAAACAAACCTCACACATTCTTTTTTAGTTTGTCCCAAAATAAATACCCATTTCCTTTTAAGGGAAAGATTATGTGGCTCACATTATTTCTCAATTTCGACCACACACTTTTCATTTTTCTTCATTTTTCTAAAACTGTGTCGGTCAAACTGCGGACGAATATAGGGACTGAGGGAGTAGTTTATATTTATCATGATAATGCAAGAGAACAATTTTGATTAAAAAAGGATACAAAAAACAAGGGAAATGCGTCTGATGTCTCTCTACCAAAGC